AGGAAGAAACCTAGTTCTCGACAGTATTGTTGAGCTATTGGATCGAGCCTTGCCTGAAAGCCAATTTACCACTGGGCTTTTCATCGCATGAATCAATAACTTTGCTTTGTTGTTAAGCCATTTGCGGTTGGATTTTCTGTGTCTAGCAACTAGCATCTAGAAAGATTCCCGACTAAGATAGGCATGGGAGGGGCTAAGACAGAGTGTGGGGGTCCTTACTGTCTGGCTCCAGGATCTGAGCCATCAGGCTTGCAATCCGAGGAGCTGGCCCAGTCTCAAGACATTCTTGGCTGTGAGTCCTTAGCCCGTGTGGACAAGTGTGATTCAGCAGGCTCCTTGGTGCTGGACGTGGGATGGTAGCTCCGGGCTTTGGGGAACAGGTGTACCTCTGTGGGGAGGCACAGCCTCTCTGATTAGCACCGCCATATGTTCTGGCTTCCCCTCCGTTTCCTTCTGCCCCCGCCCCAACTCATCCTGTGCTTCATTCACAGGCGATGCCGGGGAGTCTGACGGGTGGGCCAGCCAGGCCCTTCTCCCCTTGGGACCGAGTCCTGCCACCCACAGGCCAGAGCCAGGAGCACGGCAGCCCCAGACCAAGCTCACGGTCTTCTCTGCAGATGCAGGACGAAGCCATTTCAGGAAGGACCTGGTGGTGGAGAACAGAGAACAAACACAGGGGTTCTCAGGAGGGGCTGCACACTGCCCGACGCACCACCCAACGCAGCAGGGACAATGCATATACATGCTTCTAGCAGGACGGAGGTGAGCCACCCGATGAACACAGCAGGGAGAGGGCATGAGAAACAGGCATGCTCACAGCAGGACACTCGGTACAAAGATTCTGGGAACAACTGGCTAGAATCTATCAGAATTTATCCAGTGCTTGCACTTCCAGAGATCAATGCGTACATGGCCGTAGAGAGGTCATTGTACCCAGATGTCCAGTAAACCATGAGGATGAAGCAAAATAGTAACAAAGCGATAATGGTGATAACAGAACCCCCAGAGAAATTCCACTGTGGATCTGTGGCTAGGAAGAATGAGGTCCCACTGCAAAGGCAGATGAGGGAAAAGTGCCACAGAGGGAGGTGCTTCATGTATGTTGATTTGGGAGACCTAGTCTGGGCAGGTCTACCCCAAACTTTTGGCCATGGCCACCTCTGGAGGGGCCTGCACCAGGACCCAAGAGGCCCCACAAAGCACCCTGGGGCAGGGGGTGCTTCCTTCCAGCTCCACGAGCCCCTGCCTGGCCACGTGGGTGAATGGGCCCCCCAGCCTCAGCCCATTCCTGCCCACTGTGGTTTGAACCTGTTGTGATCTTGGTGGCAAAGTGGGACCCTTAGGAGTTTACCCCCAGCCACCTCTGTGTGAGGGACACTGAATGACAGGGAGAGGAGGAGGGCGTGGGCCAGCCTGCCCAGACCACAAGGCAGTCTGGGCAGGGCAGGGAGGAGGATGCAGAGGAATGAGCAGGATTCCTACGAGCAGAGGGCGGGGAGGAAGGCCTGAGTTCCAGGACATGGGGCAGGACAGTCACCAGACCAGAGCCCAAGTTCCCAGGAGGCCGGGAATACCAAGTCCGGATGATTGGACTTTATTCTGGGGACTGACGATGCCTGGGTGGCGCCTGGGTAGGAAACCATGAGGGAATTCCTGACGGCAATGGGTGAGCCCAGGGGCTGGAGGACACAGTGGTTCTATGACAGATAAACCTGGGCCTCATCCCACAGCCCTGAGCACAAGCTGTGTGACCTTGTGTGAGACACGGTGCGTCTCTGAGCCTCCGCCTTCTCCCCTGAATGGTTCCCACTCCTGGGGCCAGGGAATGGTTTGGGGCTCTTCCTGGCTGTGGTCAGCGTGACCAGGTGTGACCTCACAGGTTGAAGATTGTGACTGAGAGCATGGGAGACATAAGAGAGAAAGGAGAAACTGCTGGGTCTTTGCCTCCGCTGAGAGGTGCTGGCATCTGTCACAGCAAATGCCGGCCCCAGATGCCGGCCCCACGACCCAGTGGTGCCTGTGGGGTGCGGCACGCAGGCTGCCCCTCGCATCCAGCCCGGTCAACAGTAGGCTCAGTGTGTAGGAGCCCACGCGGGATCCTGGCCCCAGGCCCTCCGGCTGGGAACCCCTACACCTTTCTCAGCCCCTGGGATGTTTCCTCAAAACAGCTCTCAGGAGCTAAGGATGCCCCATTTCTCATGGAACCTGAGGCCCTGCTGTCCTCAAGGTGGGTTTAAGTGCTCGCTGGAGGCCAGTGAGGGCCTGCAGGCCCAGAGGCTCCCTGACAGCTGTGGGAAACACCCCTGGACCCTGAGCTGAGCCTGACACAGGAGGTTTCCAAGATGATCCGAGTCCAGAGTGATACCCAGGGCTCTGCTGACATCTGAGGCCAGCCTCCCCCTCTGCGGGTGGCCCTGGAGCCCTGGCCAGTTAACGGGATTAGAATGTCATTTCAAGGGGCGCGTGGGGGGCTCAGTCGTTAAGTGTCTGCCTTAGGCTTGGGTCATGATCCCAAGGTCGTGGGATCGAGCCCCGCATCAGGCTCCCTGCTCCGCGGGAAGCCTGCTTCTCCCTCTCCCACTCCCTCTGCTTGTGTTCCCTCTCTCACTGTGTCTCTCTCTGTCAAATAAATAAATAAAATCTTAAAAAAAAAAAAAAGAATGTCATTTCAAGATGCCCATTGGTCCCGCCCTGCCCCGAGGCTCCTGGCCCTCCGGCCCGCGGGCTGTACCTTTGAGGTTAGGTAGTGGGCTTCCCAGGAGGTGGCGCTCACGCGGAGGGCAGGGGCGCCGAGGACGGGCGCGCGGCGCCCCACACCGCCTCCCGGCGGCCGCGTGGCAAAATGGCCCGGTCCGCGCTGGGTTTCCCGCACCCCAGCTCGTGGGTCTGGACCCCGGACGCGCCGCGGAAAAGCGCTCCGAGGGACCGTGAGGCAGCCTTCACTTCTCGCCGTGGCCTGGAGCCCCGGGCGAGCTGCTGCTGGGGTGTGCCTGCGCGTGGGGGCTGCACCCTTGCTCATCGCGCGACGTTCCAATGAGGCTGACCCCGGGGCCTCTGGGGTGTGAGCGGCCTGGGACCGCCTCCGGCAGCTGCTGCCACGGGCCGGGGCCGCGGACTGTGTCACAGCCGACACAGCAGGACCCGCCTCTCGAGGAAGCCCGGGCATGGCCCCTACCCTGGGACACTGCCCAAGCCGCCCCTACTGTCGCTTTGCCGAGGGGTGACTCAGGACCGTGAACCTGAGCCTCACGAGCCTTCAGGCACGGACCCATACACGCGGCCCCGCGCACACCTTGTACCACTCACGTGCGTGCATGGACATGCGTCCAAGCGCACACGTCTGTGTCCTTCCACATCACATACACACATGCACACACAGACACACACCCCTACACGCACAAGCACACACAGCAGTACACAATCACACGAACACGCATGCACGATGTGCAAACGTGCAAACCCAAACACGCTCACAGATGTGTACCCTTACACACGTGCACACACACGGCCCTCACTAGCCCTATGGAGCTCCGGCTGCTTCCTCGGCCACCCCTGCTGGCTGCTGGCTGGACCCCCTGGCCCCAGCTGACCCAGCTATGGGGCCCAGACAAGGCCACCAAGACTGGGGCTGGGTGTCCTGATCCCAGGACACGCCTGGTTACCCCCTGTGGATGCCCAGCTCCACACACCTGCCTTCTTCTACTTTGAGGAGGGTGTTAGAGAAGCTGGGTGAGAACCTTGACTCCATTAAACCGCCTTTTGGACCTTGGGCAAATTGCTTCTTTGTTCTGCACCTCAGTTTCTTCATCTGAACAATGGGTTCGTATCAGAGCATGCATGGTGGCTGTGCAGCCTAACGAGATCTTGCTTACCAAGCCCACAGCCTGACTTCTGGAAAGTGTTCAGGAAGTATGGGCTCCTGGCCTGAAAGGGAATTGTAGACTTCTTTTCAGCAGTGGGGAAACTGAGTCCAGGACAAAGTAGTGATTTGATGCAGCTCCCCCAGCGACTTCACAGGGGACCTGCACCCCTGCCTGGCTTGCAGTGGCTTCCTTTCTGCCCACCCTGTGTGGCTGGCGCCAAGAGCCCTGCAGCTTTGTGTGGCCGCTCACCGCGCGGCTTTCATTTTGCCGCTCCAGGAATTCCCTTCAGTTCCATTCCCATCCAGAACTTCCCAGGCCCGGGGAGGAAACCACAAACAAGATCATATTACTGTAACTGAAAATTAATGGACTGCTGGCAGTTCTAAAAGAAAAACAAATTATCTGAGTAGTTTAGATGGAGTCATAGAACGTTTCAATTTGTAGCTACACGTTCTGCCCCATTCACCACACCACTGCCCAGCCTCCGCTGTTGTCCTGTTGTTTGGACACTGTAAGAGCCTTCAGATCGTGGAAAGAGACAAAAGCTGTCCAGATGTTGTGGGGCAGTAGGTTAGCCCTGGCCTTGGAAGGCCACCTGTCTGGTCTTGGCTCCAGGGACGTACCTTGCTCTAGGGATGAACATAGCCCCAGGCCTCCCAGAGCTTAGGGCAGGTGGGTGGTTGACCCTTTTGCTTTGTGATCAGAAAACTGAACATTCAGCCTTCACTGATTGTTTGGGCTAGTGGGTGCCAAATGCCGGCTCTAGTTCTGCTTTCCAGGAGGGTCTTCCCTCCTCCTCACCTCCTTTTCAACATCCTCTCACCCCTCACAGCCCACCTCCTCCAGGAAGCCCACTGTAAATGCAGCACCGGCTCTCTCTCTCTGAACTTGTGGAGGCTACCGTTCCGACCACAGGCTCTTGTGCTGAAATCTAGTCTCATATTGCCACCGTGTAGACCCTAGTGGTGCCTGTTTATTTCCGTGAACCCAGTGGCTCCTTCCGGAGGGTTCCCTCCGGCTGCAGGACAGTGCTCATGCTCAGCCTGGTGTGAGGCAGACTGGGAGTGCTGGGAAGTTAAGATAAGCACCCAGGGCAGCTTTCAGCCAACCACGGAGGGAAACGCAGTGAGACCCCACGGTGTGCCCACCAGCGTGGCTGCTGTGAAAGCCTGAGAACCCACGTGCTGACAAAAGATGTGGAGCAACTGGAGCTCTCTAACTGCGGGGGGGGGGGGGGGGAGGAGTAGAAAACGGCACAACCATTTTGGGAGGCTGGCAATTTTGTATAAAGTTCAAAGTACACCTGCCCATCACCCAGCAATTGTACTTTTAGGTGATTGATTAAACGAGAGAAATAAAAAAATATGCCCACAAAAAGACTGGTACACGAACTTCAAGGCAGCTTTATGCATAATGCCAAAAACTTAAAAATGACTCGGGGGGGGGGGCGCCTGGGTGGCTCAGTCGTTAAGCGTCTGCCTTCGGCTCAGGTCATGATCTCAGGGTCCTGGGATTGAGCCCCGCATCAGGCTCCCTGCTTGGCGGACAGCCTGCTTCTCCCTCTCCCACTCCCCCTGCTTGTATGCCCTCTCTCGCTGTCTCTCTCTGTGTGTCAAATAAATAAAATCTTTAGAAAAAAAAAAATGACTCCGGGGTCTAACAGAGCGGGCATTGCATTTAGTGGCATATACCATTCAGCAATCACAGGGAATGGGGCGCCGAGAGCTACAGCACGGATGACTCTGAAAACATGATGCTGAGCGACAGACCCGGTAGGTCACATACCGTAGGATTCCATTCATATGAAGTGCCTGGGGTAGATCCACCCACACAACAACATGGGTGGGTCTTCAAATCACTCTGTGAACTGGAAGAGGCCATTGGGAAAAGAGTACATACTGCATTCATTTATACAAATGTCTAGAACAGACCCAGCTAGGATGTGAGGATGAAGTGGGAATGGTGGTTGCCTCGGTGGGAATGCTCCCGAACTAGCTGATGGCGCTGGTTCCATGGGGTCTGCATTTGTCAAGTCATTCAACTGTACGTTTTATTGCCTGTAAATTACACCTCAATAAAAACGTCCATGCGTGACCATTCCGAAAGTTACGTGGACGAAGAATAGGCACAGGGAACACAGAAATGTCCAGAAAGCACAGAGCAAACCACGGATCGCTTGCGATTCCCCCCTCCCCCGGGACAATCCTTTTAACGGAGGCTTTGCTGCAGGCGTCCTCGGGGACGCGGGATCCGGCCGCTCCCCAGCTCTGCAGCCTGCAGGTGACCGCCGTGCGGCGCGCTCCGCCCGCCCCGCCACCTCTGCAAACCGCTCCCGGCCGGAGGGCCCGGGGTCCTGCGGCTGCAGCCGGGCCCGGCCCCCGGTCACGGGCCCCTCCCCCGCTGGGCCCCCTCCACCGCACGCCGGGACCCCGCCGGCCCGCCGCGGCCCCGAGGCGACAGGGGCGGGGCCGCCCTCCGGCCCGACGAGCGAAGGCGGAAGCCCCGCCCCGCCGGCCCGCCCCTCCCCCGGCTTCCCGTGATGCCCCGCGAGGCGCAACGTAGCCGGAAGCTGGTGGCGGCGGGGCGGGCGGCCGGCGCGCGTCCTCGGAGCGGCTCGCGGCGCGCCCGAGCCCGGCGGACTCCGGCGGACCCCCGGCGCGCGCGACCGAGCCCGGACCCGCCCGGTACGCGTGGCCCGAGGACCCGGCCCGCCGCCCCCTCTCCTCGGAAGCCGCCCCGCCGCGGCCGGGGCCCCGCGCGCCCCGCCGCTGCCCTTCCTCCCGGGGAAGGGGGGCAGCAGGCTGAGGGGCTTCCTCCCTGCGAAGCTAGGGTGCCGTCGGCGGGCGCGGGGAGGCCGGCGCGGTCAGCAGCGGCAGCCTCGGCCTCGCCCGGCGCCGGGGACGGCCCCCTCGGGGAGGGAGGGGAGCGCCCGGGAGGGGCTCGAACGCCCTTCCGGCTCCCCGGGATGTGCCCGCGTGTGCCCCGGCCAAGGCTCCGCCGCAGACCACCGACGCTGGGAGCGGACGGTGCTCGTTCGGGGCAGGCCGAACGCCCCTGCCGCGCTCTGGCCGCGACGCGCGCCCGCGGGGCTGGCCCGGGGGATGCCGAGCTCGGGCTTGTCTGGCGTGGCCTCCCGGGAGGGAAGGTTCACGACAGAGCCGTGCGTCCGGCGGGAGGGGCTGCGCTTTCACACAGGTGCCCCGGATGCTCGCGGGGGTTCTGTCTCCGTCACTGCAACAGCCCTGGGGGCCCAGCCCTGCCCTTCCGTCGTCCCTTTAATTAGTGTGTGACACGGACGAGGCCCCAGCTTCAGGACCAAGCGTTGTGCAGTGAACAAGTGGCTTATGTGGCGAACCAAGAAAGAGTGTCCTCGTTCGGTTCAGCGTCTACCGAAGTTACGTCCACTTGCGGAAAGCTGCATTTTACCGTCTGGTTTCAAGCTTTAGAGAGTTCTTGGACGGTTTTTCGAGATAGACCGTATTTGTGTTTTGAAAGTTAGGGTGCATTTTCAGGGATCAAAGTTAGCATTTCAGAGAGTTGAAGGGTGCTCGCATCCAAAACTGGCCCCCAAGGGGAGTTTCTTTAAAATCCAGGTCATCTCCTTTTCACGCGTTACTTTGCTACTAGTTCCGCAAACGTTTGGTCTGCCCGATTTTATTTTACACGATTAGAAATGCGGAGCATGCTCAGCCCAGTTCTGACTTCTGTTTGCCGGTGCCTTCTGACCAGAAAGTGAACCTCTGAGGGAAGGCACAGTTCTCTGGAAGGAGCACAGGGCTGAGTATGGAGACCTGATCGGCAGCAGGCCACAAGGGGCCCTCCGGTGAGACAAATGTGTGCGGAGGGCTTTGTGAATTCAGATCAGCCCGATGTCTCTCCAGGTGTGCGTGGCGTTCACCTGTTGATGCCTTTCTCATGCGGTGGCATAGATGCTCAGTGTGCTGAAAGTGTCCCGCTTGAATGGGTCCGACCAGGATGATGTGTTCAGGTGTTTGCCCTTGAGAGCCGATGGTTTTGGTAGACTGTCACACATAGTAGAGAAAACTGCAGAGGGCAGAAGAGCCACGGGTGGACTCTGAGTTTTGTCCGTCAGTTGTAAAAAACGGAAAACCAGTGTTTATTTGTTATTTCCTTCAGCTAGCTTCGAAGTGGGCACTGATGAACACAGGAGTCCTGGCCTTCCAGATTTAGAAGGTTTGGTTGTGCAGAGAGTCAGGGTTTCCACCCGTGACTTATTTCTGCGTACTAAGATTACAGGTGAGGTACAGCCAGGGATCCTGGAATGTTTACACTGCACGTCCGTAGAAAGCTGCAGCTTCACTATCAGCAGAGAAGCTGGCCGCATAAAGTGTCCAGCAGCTGGGCAGGTGTCCAGTTCTGAGCCACTTACAGGGTCCCTGCGTGTTCTGCAGTGGGCTCGTGTTGCCATGAGAGTTAGGGGCAGCAGCTCACAGGCTCCGTTCACGAGTGAGGGAAGGGCGAGCTTCAGGGGGACACACGCGCAGTTGTGCGTTGGTGGTGGTAGAGGCGGCCTGGGGCCAAGTGGTGGTGGGGTGTGCAGGACCGTGGGGTTGCTTTATGGACAGCACTGTGCTGGCTCCCTCCCCTTCCTCCAGCTTGAATCTGCTATATCGCTTTTCCTGGTCATGAATCCAGTGGGCTGTTGCTTGAACTTGAGCTTTGCCAAAGCTAGGAGCTGAGTAGAGACAGAAATGGTTTTTCTCTTCAGCCTGAATTAAGGGCCGTGGTGCCCCGGCAGTGTCCCCGTGAGGCATGGTGGCAGGTGTGCCCTGCTGTGCTCATGCCGTCGGTCACCTCCACCCTCTGTGATGGGCCCTTGGAGGACATCCCTGTAGGCCCCCCACAGACCGGCCTCTGCACCTATCAGTCAGGGCTTCCGCTTCGGCCCCACACCACAGGCTGGGGAGTGGAAGGAAGATGTGGCGTGCAGAGAACTGGGGTTCCCTGTCTCCGAATGTTATTGGCCCCAGTCTGCGGTGTTGGCCTTTCAGGTGGGCAGTCAGATTGAGCGGCCAGTCTGTGTACGTTGTAGAAAGACCACCCCTTGTTATGGGCTTCGTCACAAGACGGGACGTTTTATAAATTATGCAGTGCGGGTGGTGTATGATGCTTAGGCAAAGCGGACGCCGGTGATCATGTTATTCTTAATAATTGCGTTGCCTTTGGCTGGAAACCAGACGGCTCTGGGTTTTTCTTAGCATGTGGAGGACAGATTCCTTCGGTAAGTGGTTCCCCTCGTGCCACCTGTAGCAAGCAGGGGCGTTACCCCGTAGCTTCCAGGCAGCTTCGTGGGATTTCTCTGAAGCCGTGTGTGCTAGTGTTTTTGCACTCACTCGTTTTCTTGTAAAGTATCCTACTGGTAAGTTTTAAAACTTTGTGTTTCTCCTTTGCAGCATCATGGCCAGCCCCAGAACGAGGAAAGTTCTGAAAGAAGTCAGAGTGCAGGATGAAAACAACGTAAGCGTCTGCTCTGCTCTGGTGCTTTGAGGTTTGGCAAACCTCTCAGAGCTCTCCCTGTTACTGTTAGTCTCGGGCCAGTCTCCTCTGCTTCCTCTTGGGGCCACCTGTCGGGTCTTTGGGGTCCCAGGGCCCCAAGTGCCTGGGTGAGTCGCACGTGACCCTCTCCGCAGGTGTGTTTTGAGTGTGGTGCGTTCAATCCTCAGTGGGTGAGTGTGACTTACGGCATCTGGATCTGCCTGGAGTGCTCGGGGAAGCACCGCGGGCTCGGGGTGCACCTCAGGTCAGTGCCCTGCCCCTCTTGCCTCGAGGGCCTCCTGTCGGGTGTGCGGTGACAGGGTAACGCGTGCCACCTTGCCTGCTCTGCGCTTCTGTCAGGGGAAGTGCCTGCACCAGATTCACGACCTGGCTGGGGGCTCTTGGACGCTTAGTGCTAATAAGTAGGTTGGCTCTCTGGTTTGTAGCTTCGTGCGCTCCGTGACCATGGACAAGTGGAAGGACGTGGAGCTGGAGAAGATGAAAGCTGGAGGGAACGCGAAATTCCGGGAGTTCCTGGAGTCTCAGGAGGACTATGACCCCTGCTGGTCCCTACAGGACAAGTACAACAGCAAGGCTGCGGCCCTCTTCAGGGACAAGGTAGGGACCGGCTGATCAGCGGTGCTGAGGCTCTGCCCGTGGGAGCTGGCGTTCTCCTGTGGGCTCTGACCTCCCTGCAGAGGCCGTGCGCAGTCTGTCCACAGACAGGACACGTGGGCCGTCTTGTCCCACCCGGGGCAAAGTAGGTGGCACGTTGTTAGCAGGGGTGAAGAATGGGCCTTCCTCCCCACCCTCGGGGAGAGTGTCGCGTGCCCGCTCCTCTGTACGTGGTGGGTGAAACTGCCAAGGATGGCAGCACGCCATGTGGGGTCGGAGCCACTGACCAAGAACTCGCCAGCACCGCTGTTCCTTGCGGTCAGAGTGAGACCCTGTCTCGGTGTTGACATGTGGCAGAGAGCCCCCAGCCCGTGGCCGCTGAGCCTGGGAGGGACAGCAGACAGGACACGCTAGAGCGGGTGACGTCTCTGTCCTGGGCTGGCTAATGCCTGTGTCCCCTCGGCAGGTAGCCACTCTGGCTGAAGGCAGAGAATGGTCTCCCGAGTCATCGCCTGCCCAGAACTGGACCCCACCCCAGCCCAAGACACTGCCGTCTACTGCCCACCGGTAGCTACTCCTCTGGCCTCTTGTCTGGCTCCAGACTGTTCTGGGCCTGGCCCTGATCTCGGCCGTAGCTCAGGACCCCCTATTGGTGTGGGAACAGCTCCCATTGTGAGTTGCTCCCGAGAGTCAGTGGGAAAAACAACTCTGTGGGTCATTGAAGCAATACAGGCTCTCAGTAAAAATGCAAAACCCATAAGCGGTTTCTGAGTGAAGGGAGTACCTCCCCATTTCTCAAGAGCCCGTTCGATGCGAGTCCTTCCAGACACGCACCCGTGACACACGTGCATCTCCGTAGGAAACGTCCCAGCTGAGTGCTGTTTACCTCCTGTGTCCTCTCTGAGGATTGCCCACCCCCGAGTGCAGGTGTGATGCGGACAAGCTGGTCCCCTGCGTCCTCTCGCATGTGAGAGGCTGGTGTTCTGGAGTGACCGGTCCACAGAAGGCTCCCTGTTTGCACCGTGGGTGTCTGGGGCCCCCCACCCCACCCCTGCACTGTGCATTTTATGTGGAAGGTCCCTGGACCACTGCTGATGTGCCTGCTTCAGCCTCCGTCTCTCCAGCCTCTCTGCTCTCTCCCTGCCGGCATGGGCAGGCGTGGTGCTGCTGTCCGGCCCTTTGGGGCCGGTGTGTGCCCGCTTGTTGCCAGCTTGAGCCTGAGCCGCCTTTCAGACAGACTTGGAGGCCAGCTGGCCTTAGGTGCTCCATTCTTGGAGGAGCCCAGGTGTGACCAGGCGGATGTAACAGCATAGAGGCCCGGACGGTTCCCTCAGGCACCTGCCTGTCCTCTGTTGGCCTCGCTGACCTCTGACTCTCCCTTTCAGAGCCTCTGGCCACCCACAGAACTCGACCTCCTCCTCAGACAAGGCGTTTGAAGACTGGCTTAATGATGACCTGGGCTCCTATCAGGGGTGAGGCCACGGGCAGCAGGGGGTTCAGTCCCTCAGGGCTAGGGCCTGCTGCTTTCCGTGTGCAGGGCCTGCACAGCCCGCACGCGTCCGGTCATGGTAATCCCCGGGCCAGCCCAGGTGTGAAGAGTGGTTTTGAGTGGAGAGAAAAGGAAGAAAGAATAGTTTTCCTCCTTGGAACCAGCCTGACCTGTAAGCGAGTTTTGTTCTTGGGGCTGTTGGATTAAATCATCTGGATGCTTCTTGTAATAACAGGCTGTGGGCTTTGGGTCTTGCCAAGGTTCCTGGCTAAATGCAGCAGGAGGGTGTTCTCCAGTGAGCAGAGGGGAGCTTGACTTGTGTGCCCGCCTTGCTGTGGATGCACGTCCCCCCCGGGGCCCTCACACCTCTGCCCGGGGTCTGGGTGCCTCCCGCCTCGAGGCTTTCAGGAGCATGCTGCTTTTTGTCTCCCTGTCAGGGCCCAGGAGAACCGCTATGTGGGGTTTGGGAACACAGTGCCGCCCCCGAAGAGGGACGAGGACTTCCTCAGCAGCGCCGTGTCGTCCCTGTGCTCGGTGAGGACCGCGCCCTGCCCTGCAGACCCACAGCCGGCCCCGCCTGCAGGACAACCTCCCCTTTCCTTCAGCGAAGTTTCTCTATGACCCGGCCTATTCCTTCTGGTCCCTGCGTGTGCAGTTGCTTACGTACTTTGTTACAGAATGTATGTTTCCCGCTAGTCAGGCGCATTTCCTCCAAGCACAACGTCTTGTGTGGTGCGTGCCCGGCCCTCCTGTCCTGCCAGAGCACTGGGCACAACTGATCCCGGCGCTCTGCCCACCAGCCCCGCTCTCCAAGCCGCGTGGGCTCTGGCACCCTCTGGGTTTGGCGCTCGCGGCCCTGCGCTTTTGTCCTCAGCTTCAGGTCAAACCATCGTCTTCCAAGGGAACTTACTGTGTTCTTAGACGACATTCATTCGTTTCAGCGCCGTCTGTGATGGTAGCTGCAGACCCCCAGGGGTCTGGCCGGTGACGACTGGCAGCGGCCCGACTCTGGGTACCGCACGCGTGAAAAGGCGAGGAGACGTCCTCCACGCTAACAGGACGGGGTCTTCGGTGCCCTGGGTGGGGGACGCAGCAAGTGCAGAAGGAGCAGACGTGACGGGTGAAAATGCAGGAAGCACCCGGGAGTGGCCGTGTGCCCGCCGCCACTGTAGGGTCCTGCGTCCTGGGTGCAATGGGAGGCCTGCTGAGCACCACTGTCCGCTGTCCTCTTCTGATCCGTGCACACGTGCTGTTCCCGAAGTGATGGAACTTGTCAGGAATTAAGGCTGCCCCTCCAGAGCCGCAGGCACGGGCAGCCGCAGGCAGCCAGGGTCCCTTCTCCGGGTCCCACCAAACGTAGCGCATTTGTGTTTGTGTCCCCCTCCTGCGGGTCTTTAATTCACCGAGGAAGCTGAATGTGCTTGTCTCCTGAGCTAAGGGTTCCTCTGCTGCCTTGCGGGGGAAGAGGCTCTGCTGGGAAGTTGGGGTTTGAGTGAGACGTCTGTGTCTGTAAATAGTTTCAGTCGGCTTTGGGGGCTTAGGGGGAAGACCTTGAACTCAGAACAGGTCTGCCCGCAGACCAGGTGCCAGGCCCTGACTCCTCCGAGGGGAGGTAGGAGGGACCGAGGGCAAAGGGAAGAACGGGCACGTGCATGCAGTGGAGGTCCAGTCAGGTGGACACGGCACAGATGCACGCATTGGGCCGGATGCCGTGGCTGCCAGGAGTTGGGTGCGTGGCGTTCAGGTGTGCCCACGGCTTGCGTGCCCGCTCTCCGTGGGAAGTGGGGTTGCCGCTGGGAACGGGACCCTGGAGGTGGCCGTCCTGCCCATCTTGGGGGCGGAATCCGTCAGCCCCTTGCTGAGCGGTGGATGGCATGGCAGACAGCCTGCCTGTTTGGCCGCCCGTGGAACCTCGACGTGGCCTCTCTGTTGTTCTTTCCAGGGCTGGAGCAGTTTCACCACCGGAGCGAGCAAGTTTGCCTCGGCCGCTAAGGAGGGTGTGAGTAGCCCATCCCAGCGCCCCGCCTGCAGGCCCACACAGGCTGTGCTAGTCTGGGGTCTGGGGGCAGACGGGGGTCCTGAAGGGGCTCCGATGAGGGGTGGAGGGCGTTCCCAGCCGCAGGGCTCCCTCCCAGGCCGTGTGCTGTTGGCCCTGAGTCTGCAGCAGATCTCAGGGCCCCGCCGTTCGCTGCTTCAGTGGCAGGCATCGTCTGCGCGTCAGAGGTGAGCTGGGTGCAGAGGGGCGCCGCTCTAGAAGAGGGGTGTGCCGTGCTCCAGTGCGGCATGTTGTGAGCCCTGCAGGCTGAGTGGTCCTGCCAGCCCTCCAGTTTCTGCTGCTGGGCACGGAGCAGGGTTCAGGCGCTGGGACTTCTCTCTCCCCCTTACCTGCTCCTCTGCCCAAGCGAGGGAGGGTTGGGGATTTAGTCAAGACACACAGGTGGGGAGTGGGCATGACCTTGGAAAGGAACAGGCAGAAACCGGTCTGAGGACGTTACCCCGGAGGGGAGACTGTCGGGGGCGTCTGGCAGGTTTCCTGGTCAGCGGGGCCTTGGTGAGGAAGGTGACCTGGAGAAGAAGGAGCCCAGGGCAGGCTCAAGGGGCCGCCCGGCTAAGTAGCCCTGGACAGGAACGTTCTGAGGGCCAGACGGGTGGCCGCAGCTCCACAACCAGCAGGACCGCAGGGCTGGCTCTGGGCCGGAGCGAAGGCACTATGGACCCCTCTCCATGCTCCCCGTGGGCCGCAGTGCCCCGCATCCTCCCCCATGTGGCCTCGAGGGGCACTAGGCCCTGTGGCACCTCTGCTCTGGTGCGGGGCCTCCGCTGGTTCTCCCCAGGCCTCGTCCCTGGAGGGCACAGCCAGGAGGTTCAGGCCCCCTTCAGCGGGAGCATCTGTGGCCAGGCCTTTTCTTTCTTTGTTTATGAAAGTGTTGGGGGTGCTGTGCTAAGGTGAGCTGTGGGATGGGCCCGCACTGGGCGCCAAGCAGGTGGCATGGTCTGGGCCAGGGCAAAGCCCACAGCTGACGGGGCTGGGGTGGCCACCCCCTACCGGGGACCTGCTCCCCCTCCAGCGGGGCCTGGCCTAGTGGGCAGCTTTGCTGGGTCCCTTGGAGCTGCTGGGAGGTGGGAGGCCATCAGGAGACAGGCCTAGGACCGAGTGCTGAGACCTGGGGATGTGCAGCCAGGGGTCTGGTGTCAGGACTGGTGACTGAAAGCCATGTTTCTTTTCAGGCAACCAAATTTGGATCTCAAGCAAGTCAGAAGGTAACAACGGAAGCTTCTGCGTTCCGTGCTGTTAAAATTTCTAGTTCTGTCCTGTCGTCGTCTAGACGCTGCCTGGTCTGCCCTCCTCGGGGCCTGTGCTTGGGAGAGGGGGCGTTTCTGTGTGCATCACTTCAGGTGCTTGTGGGTTAGGGGGGTAAGAAGCTGCGCCTATAAGGGCCTGCAGGGCTGAGGGCACCCGGACAGCTGTAAGGCTCGTGTGCAGTCGGCTGTCTGCACCCGTGGGTGGAAGGAAGCCTGGTGTTGCCAGGACTGCGGGTTGTGGGGTGGGGCAGGCTAGTCCTCCTTTCCCAGTTAGTTTCTCGCGGGCGGTGGTTTGGGGCGTTGGCGTTTCTCTCTTTCTTCAAATCTTGGTTGGTAGCCCTGGCAGTCCCCAGGTGGTGGCAGGGCTCTGGACCGCCTGAGCCCTGGTGGTGGGGGTTATCACACAGGCCGGAGGCAGCGGCCCCAGAGGCTGTCCCGGGAGGGGGGTGGCTGGTGTTCGAGGATGGCCCGTCCGTTTCGGGCTCCTGACCTGCTTGCGCACGTGTGGTTCTGGAGGTTGTACGTTGGGACTGGAAAGCAGTGAGGTTCGGTGGCAGTGAGTGGGCCCTCCAGGTCACTTGAGGACGCCTGCTGGGGTGACGCCATGAGAGCGTGAGGCTAATTGACCCGTCTGGGGGTGCTTCCTGGTGGTTGCTCACCACTGCTCCTGCCCGAGCTCGCTCGCCCTCTCACTTTCTCCCTCTCTCCCCCTCCGCCCCAACCCGCTCCTTGCTGTCTGGGTAAAGTTTTGGGGCTCCAAGCGGCAGCCCGAGATGGTAAGGCCCCAGTCTGTTCTCGTGCATGCCATTCCCCGTCTGTGCTGACCACGCGCTTCGCCCTGAGCTTCCCCGGACCGTGGCCTGTATGTGTCCTCGCTTACGTGCCCTCACCCTCGGAGCTGCCCGCCGGCCTGCTGGGCTCCTGTCTGGCCCATCCTTGCTGTTCAGGGACCTGAGACCCCGGCAGGAAGCCAGGGGTCCAAACCGGGGGGCACGGCTCCTCCTGGGGTGCCAGGAGCTACTGGGCAGGATTTTCATTTCGTGGCTTGATCACCTTGAGCTCAGTGAGCAGAAGGAGGGTTATCCCAGTGGCAAGGCGCTCACAGGCACGCGGTTACCCTGTCTGTCGAGGCTACTGCTGCCTGGCGCGCTCTCTTAGCGGCCCGTCGTCCCGCCGCCGCCCCACCCACCTTGGCTCTGTGCTCTTCCCTCGGAGTCAGGTGCCCGGTGGCGGGCAGGTGGGCTCACACCCCCTCCAGGGACCAAGGGTGCACCCGCCTGTACCCCAGCCAAGGGGGGTAGCATGTGACCTGCTGCCAGCACACGGGCTGTCCTCACGGGATGGGATTGCGTGGGCTCCGATGGGAGGACCCGCGGGAGGCCGCTGGATTTGGGCCCCTCTGGGCCTCTCCCCTCTCGAGCGGGTAGGCCTGGGGCAGTGTCTCTGGCCGCCCCCCAGCCAGGGTGCCGGGGGGGCACTTCGTGCAACTGCCTTGGGTGCCGCGGCTGCCGGGGTGGGGGGGTGGCAGGGGAGCCCTGGGTGCTGGTGGGCCGCTCACCATCTGCTGCCTTCCCTCGGTCGGCCAAGCTCGCGGCCACGTGCTGACCGGTGTCCTGGCTGACATGCTGCCCGGGCTCACCTGACTTCCCTCTCATCACACAGGCTTCGGAGCTGGGCCACAGTCTGAACGAGAACGTCCTCAGACCTGCCCAGGAGAAGGTAACGCAGCCGATGCCCTGTCCCTCTCCTCCGTCCCCACCCCCGTAGGCCCTCGTTCCAGGGGAGCAGCGGGTGCTGGGGGCTCCGACTCCCGCCAGTGCCGCGTGTCCCAGGGGGCCCCCACCCCCGGGCTCCGGGAGGCCTGGCCTCGAGCTCCGTTCCTCAGAGTGCGGCTGGGTGTGGGCAGCGCGGAGGTGGCTGACTGAGCCAGGGAGGCCCCCCGCGGTCTGGGGCCTCGGGGGGCAGTGCCAGCCTGCCCTCAGGAGGTTGTTGCTGAAACAGAGGCCCCCCCGGGAGGATGCTGTGTTCCAGCAGCCTGGGCTGCGGTCGGCGGCCCCCGCCCCCTCTTCCCTTGTGGGGAGGGGGCCGCCCAGGGGGAGACGGGGTCACACACAGCTGCCGCCACATCTCTTCTCAGAGACGGTGACAGTGGGCTTTCTGCCGCTCGGCTGACGGCACTGTTTTAACCCACGCAGGTGAAAGAGGGAAAGATTTTTGATGATGTGTCCAGTGGGGTCTCTCAGTTGGCGTCCAAGGTAGGGCAGGCCCCGCCTGGTGCTCAGGTGCAGCCGGAAGCCAGTCTCCACATTCCGGGGCGCCCGGGCCGAGAGCAGGAAGGGCCTGGGCTCTCCGTGCCCCCGCGCGCTCGTGCGGCCCGAGTGCCCACTGAGCGGTGGGTGAGGAGACTCAGCGAGACGCTCCCGTGCCGGCCGCCAGAGGAATATGGAAACGGCTTGGCGGGGGGAGGGTCTCTCACGTCTGCTAACTGTCGCTTCTTTCTCTTCTGCCCTCATTCTGCTGCCGCTGCCCTTCCCCCGGTGAGTGCGACCTTCCTGACGTGCTGGCGGAGGGCCGCCGTCGTCCTCCAGGCTGGTGTGGGTGTGCGCGGCCCCCTGCTTCCCAGCCCACCACTCTCCGCACGGGGAAGCCTGCAGGGGGCTTCGCACGCATGCTGTTTCCTCGAGCTCCCGAGCCTGTGGGCCAAGCTTGGCCGTGCCGTTCACGTCTCTAAGCTTTGCCGGGACTTTGAGCGGGACACCGTGTATGTGCCGTGTGTGAGAACCCACCCTGAGCTGCCGCCTCCCGTCCCCTTCCAGGTCCAGGGGGTTGGCAGTAGGGGATGGCGGGACGTCACCACGTTCTTTTCTGGGAGAGCAGAGGACCCGTCGGACAGGTACGCCAGTTCCCTGGGTTTCTTCCCACAAGGCCTCTGGGAGGCAGTCGGCATCCCCGCTGAGGGACAGGCATGTTATCCCCCAGGGGCACGGGGGTCACAGCAGCCCCCAGAACCATAGAGATACCAGCCCTGTGGTAACTGCTGCTGCCCGGGGCAGGGAGGGAGTGGGGAGGCCTGGAGAGGAGGGGCGCCAGTGCCGATCCCCGTCTCCAGTCTGGGTGGGTGGGGCCGGCGGGGGCGCCTCAGCGACCCTGTGCCCTCACTCACCGCCACTCCAGGCTGGCGTCCTGGCCTGTCTGCTGGAAGCCCGGTCGGCCTGGTTTCCCGTTCTTCAGCCGCAGGGTGGGCGGGGCGGGAAGACCGGCCGTGGTGGGGGCCGCTCCTGGATGGGGGCACGTTCCCTGTGCTCACGGGCACGGGCCGCACGTCTTCCTGACGCGCCATTTGGTGGTTCAGGCCGTGTGGCTGCGCTCGTCGGGGTACAACTCTGCTGAGGGGCTCTGCGGGGCCCCCTCTGTCTCGACAGCGCGGGGAGGGCTGACGCACTCAGGGCTCCCCTTTTCCCTCAGTCGCTGCAGAAAACCGGCGTTGTATTTTTTCCTTCACAACGAGCTCCTTTTGGGGTGGGGCTGACCCAGCTGGGCTCTGGCAGCAGGAGGCCCGAGTGCTTCTGGCGGGTTCTGTGCCCAGACTCTGAGGTGGAGCTGCTCAGGCCCCGTGGGCGTCGGGGTCTGGGTGGGGCCTCTGCAGTCTGGGGCAGGACACCAAGGGACGGCCTGGTGGCCCGGGCCGTTGTTCAGTCTCTCTCTGTCTTCCCAAGACCCCTGGAGGGCCAGAGCTACCAGAACAGCGGTGGGGACCACCCCCAGAACCGCGCTGTGGACCAGAGCTTCTGGGAGACCTTCGGGAGTGCCGACCCCGCCAAGGGCCACAGGTCCCCGAGCAGCGACAGCTGGACGTGTGCGGACGCCTCGGCCGAGAAGAGGAGCTCGGACAGCTGGGATGTGTGGGGCTCGGGCTCCGCGTCCAACCATAAGAACAGCGACCACAGCGACCTCGGGGAGGCCTGGGGGGGCGGTGGGGAGGGCAGAGCCAAGACCGCCAAGAAGGCCGCGCTGCCCGCGGTGCCGGTGGACGAGGGCTGGGACGACCAGGACTGGTAGGCCCGCTGCACCCCAGCCCCAGCAGCTGCGGTGGCCCCTGCGTCTGCACTTTGCCCCCACACTCCTCCTGTCTGAGCCCAGAGACCAGCTGTGGCGTGAAGACAGCACCCCAGTGTGAGCCAGGGGTGGTGCTGCCGGCTGGCTCGGGCGCCGGCCCCGCAAGGCCGCGGTGCGGGACGGTCCGCGTCTCTCCCGTGGTTCTGGGGCAGCCCAGGGGAACCTGGCCAGGGTGACGCGGGGGCAGAGTCTGCTCCTGCAGGAGGCAGGCCGCGCCATCGTTCCCAGAACGCCCTCTAATAAACCCTCCCGAGTGCGGTGCAGCTTGTGCCGTGTCGTGTGCGAGGCGTGCGTGCTCCCAAGCGTCGGGTCCAGGCTTGTTCCAGGCCAGCCTGCCTGCGTGAGGGATGTGCCCAGCTCCCCTCCCTGGCCCTGCTTTGCTGCTGGGGCTGCTCTCCTGTGTCGCCTCTCGAGGGCCCCGCACACGGCCCCAAGGCCTCCGGCTCAGCCCCAACACCTGGGTCCTTCGTCCGCGCTCTCACTTAGCTGTGCCCGTCTGAGCCGAGGCGGCTCCCCCAGGATGCCCCAGACGGCTGAGGAACAGGGACGTGAAAGTGAAGCGTAGGGAGGGGGAAGGCAGGCCGGCACGCTCCCTCCCGAGCCCGGGTCTGGAGGTGCACGGCCGCGGGGTGGGCTCGAGGAGCCGCGTGGCATCCGGGCCTTCCCAGCGAGGTGCGCCTTTGTCGGGCTGGGTTGCCGCCGCGTCCCTGCTGGCACCTCGCTGTGCCCGCCGCGGCGGCCTCCCGTGCTGTGCTCCTGGGGCTCGGCTTGCGGTGACGGATGGAGCCCACCTGGCACTGAGCACCCACGTGCTGTTGCCCCCTTGTCCACGGTCACGGTCTGGTACTGATGAGCCTTTCTCCACGTGAGCCGCGGCTGTGGTGGGTCCTCCGTCCCCACACCCCCTTCCTCTGGCTCTCGGGTTGCTGTCAGCCGCCCTTTGACCAGGCATTGCGTGTGCCTGGGTCCTCCTGGGTGATTTGTGCCGGACGCGTCCATCACGGCCTCCGGCCGCTGCCGGCTGTTGGCGTCCCGGGACAGGCCCCCTGAGCGCGGGCGCCGGCGGCAGCCACTGTCGGTCTGTGGCGTGTCTGAGCGGGTGGTCACCGCGGGGCCGTCCCGGGACAGCCCGCTAGCGCCCAGCTGTCCCTTGAGGAGGACCCCCCGGAGGGGCAGGGGCGTCCAGTGTGGAGCAGCTGTGTGTTTGCTGCTGTGAAGGGCTCGGTCACTGAGCACCAGCCGGCTGTCCCTGAGGGGAGGCTGGGAGCCAAACCCACGGGCGGTCTGCCTGCCGGGGGCCAAGCGAAGGGTGACGGTGCTCAGGAGGAGCCCGAGCGTCGGGCGTCCGCGCCCTGTCGGGACAGGCGCTTGGTTTCCGTACTGGGGCCCCCACCCGTCGGGATGGGAGCTCACGGATCTGCTGGCGGCTCGAGAGGCTTCAGCAGTGTCCGGGCTATTCTCTCCTGTGACTTCTCGTCGGGAGGCCACGTTCCGTCGGGAGCGAGCCACCCTTTGGTCTGGGAGCCTCCTTCAGTGCCGCCTGCAGTAATTAGGGTGGCGTTGAGTTTTTAGATGTGTGCCGGCGGGGGGCACTCTGCTTCCCGGACCCCCTTCTGGAGTGCTGGGACGTGGCGGCCCGAGACCCCTCACGGGCAAAGACGGGTGCTCTTGTTGTGCCCGGGATGGGACACAGGGGCTTCCAGCTCTGCGAGGTCCTGGGGCTCGAGCATCTCCCTGGTCCTCTCCTGTGCAGGGGTCACTGGCACAGAGTAAAGCAGAGTGATCTGGGTGAGCACCACGTGGTTGAGGGTGGCACGGGGCTCCTGGAGGTGCAGGTGGGAGGGCAGGGAGGTCTCCAGTGGGTGTCTGCCTGGGACCTGGGGCCAACGGCGGCTCGCCTGGCTCTGGGTAGAAATCCTTGGAAGCCGTGTGCCCTCCACCTCAGCCTGCATCCCCCCGAAGCCACCGGATGGGGAAGCGGTCGGAGGCCGGCAGAGCCGGGGGACACGGAGTGCACTTTCCAGAATGGAAGCTCTCTTCCTGGGTGGTCTCCCACAGGTCATCCTGTCTGGGTGGGGCTGGGTCCTGCACCCGGCAGACCCAGGGTCAGTTCCTGGCCGAATCCCAGTGGTCCTCCCCCACCTGTACGGTCTGGCCAGCCTGGGGGGAAACTGGGCTAGTGGCCACGAGGCTGCCCTCACCCCCTCTGGCCTTCTGCATGCAGTCCCACCCAGACCCCTGCTCCGGGACGCTGGGCCGACCAGGGACTGGTGTGACCACGAGGTGAGGCCCCCTGGTTGCTGCAGATCCCTTGCCGAAGACGCTGAGACTGACCAGCAGGTGCACTAGAAGGCCAGCCCTGCTTAGCTTCCTCCTCTCTCTGGACTTCCCCGTGACCTTTCCGCACTTCCTCCTGGCCGTGCCCCTCACGCAGGTTCACCTCTGCCACCCGGTTCAGTCGTCCGGCGGGCCTCACACCCAGAACTGGGGCCTTCCTGGAGCCCTACTCTCTGCCCGGTCTGGTGTGCACCCCCGTCCCACCGGCCCTGCTGGGTCTGACCCAGATGACATGGTCAGGTGGCTCAGCCCCTGCAACCCTCCTCACAGCTGGGGGCTGGGGGAAGTGGGGCCTGTGCTTGGGGTGGGCTCAGGGTCCCTACCTGCATGCTGGGTGAGGGCCCATGATGGGTGACGGGCCAGCCAGCACGCGGTGCCGTCCTGTCCTTTCTCAGTGACCCGGGTCAGCCCTGACACTGCTGACTGGTTTCTGGGGCTTTTGGGGTCGCAGGTGATGAGCTCCTGCTCTGTGCAGGACTCCAGGGGGGGCACACAGGTGAGGTTGGACAGGGTCCAGCCAAGGGTGCGGAGGAGTTGGCTTGTATGTGTGCAGGGCGGCGCCTCGGTGGGGTGCGTGTGAGTGCGTGTGTGTGTCCCGAGCGCCCACGAGCCACACCTAGACACTGTCCAGGGCACGATTGTCTGTGGTTGCTGTGCCCAGCGCTCTCTGCTGGTCTGCACTCGGGCGTGTGGGTCCCAGGACTGGGCAGGTCCCCAGCACCCTGGGCACGGCATCCATCAGCACTGGGTCTGTGTGTCCAGCCGTGGGTCCTCAGGCTCAGGCGGCTCCCGGGCTACAGCGTCAAAGAGCTCCATCTGGCCTATGGCCTGAGGCCCTTCCTAGCCCCCAGGAGGGAAGCTGGGCTCACAAAGCAGTCAGGACGGGGGTGGGGGTGGGGGGAGCCAGAGGGGCACTCGGGCACCTGGAGCCAAGCCACCTTGGTTTCCTGGCCCAGGCCTGGGACCGTATGCCCCCAGCCCCCAGCCCTGTTCCCAGGTTTGGGGCTGGTGGACCAGCATGGGCGAGGCAGTGTCCTCCCTGTGGCCAAGAGTGCGGGGAGGGGGCTGGCTGAGCCCCCCTGGGAGTCGGGCAAGGGCTCCCCTCCCCCAGCAGCTCTTTGCCCACTGAATGCTGCCAGCCTGCAGTGAACACCATGTCTCAGACTGTGGGCTTCTCCCAGCCCAAGAGCCCCGTGCTGTGCCCGCTCCCCAAAGTGCCTCTGTCCCCGGAAGCTGGACCCTGCGTGGGCCGCCAGCCCTGCTGGGCTCCTGATTGTCAGCTCCCCTCACCCCTCAGCTGCCTGGGGTGGGTGGTCCCGGGTCAGGTGGGTCCAGGGGTGGGGCTGGAAGGGGTCTGGTGTGGTCAGTGTCCCCGCCCAGGCAGCAGGCCTGGGGCTCTGGGCCTGGGGCTGTCTCACTGGCAGGGAGGGGCCGAGCTTGGCTGGCCCTTCAGACCCAGGAGGCCGAGGAGAAGCCAGGAGTGTGGGGGAGGCTTCCAGGCGGGGGCCAGAGTGGGCCTGGGCACTGGGGCTGACGCTGGAGGAGTCGGGAGGAAGTGATGTGCCCCCACCACCCCCGGCCACCAGAGGCACCCGGCCCGCCATCTGTCCACACGTGGTGGCCGTGGTCCCTGAGATGCCTGTCCCGTGATCCCCGCTTTGGGGCCAACCCAGAGGAGTGAGGGATAAAGGTGTTTGGTGCCGTGGGATCCCTGCCCTGCGGCGACGGGGTCCTTCATGCTGGGACTCTGTGCCCCCACTCTTGGGCTGTAGCTGGGAAGCGGGGAGAGCCTGGGGAGGGGAGGAGGCCAGGGGTAGGCCAGGGGTGGGCCAGGGGTGGGCTGAGGCAGTGACGTCAGAGGGACAGGGACCTTGATAAGCCCTCGCCTCTCGGGGCTGCGGCAGGACCAGAGTGGGGTGAGTGTCTGGGGACCCAGGGACGCCACCCTCGTCCAGAAGGTTAGTGACTCGCCTGTGGTCCTGGGGGGCTGGGTGATGGGGAGGGCCACCAGGGGTCTGCCCAGGTCTGTGATCGGAGGATGATCTTGCCTTTTAAGAGGCCTGGGGCATTGAGGGCAGACTGTGCGGAGGGTTCCGGTTCACAGCCATGACCTCTGTGGCCCTGGGAGGGGTCCCCCCAAGTCAGGTTTCTGGGGAGCGGAGGGGTCTGGCTTCAGAATGTGGATCAGGAGGGGACTCTGGGGACCTGGAGGGTCCAGAGCCCATGCACTGCCGTCCAGCCCCCTGCAGCCCCAAGGATGCCAGCGAGCTCAGCAACTCTGCACCGCGGGGCTGGCCACTACCTCCCTGGGGGTGGCTGGGGTCCCGAGGTGCTGTGCTGTGTGTCCCTTCTGCACTGTCCGCAGAGGCAGCCCCCCAGGCCATGTGCAGCTTGGGGATGGAAGGGTGACCCCAGAGGGCTCCCTTGGGACCCCAACCCTACCTCCAAGGACCTCTCAGCCCTGCTGAGAGGCTGACTGGGGCCAGTCCTCAACCAGGACACACCCTCCTGGGTCTGGCAGAGGGCAGCTGCATGACCCCAGGGGTTGTGCTCAGACTGGGGTCCCAGCTCTGACGCCCCTCAGCTGCAGACAGGGTTTGCCCCTTCCTGGCTTCATTCCCTCCCCAGGCCCCTTGGCCCCGGCAGCGGCTGTCCCAGTCTGTTCTAATGATGAGTGAGTGACCAGGCCAGCAGTCAGGGCCCCATGCCGGCCTGTGAGAATGTCCTGAGGGCAGGATGCAAGACCAGAGGCTGTGGCTGGGCCAGACGCACCCGGGAGCGGGCAGGGGAAGGGCAGCTGACTCTCACCCAGAGAAGCACCTGCCCCGCCTTGCAGGACACAGGTCCGCTGTGGACAGGGCATGGAGCAGCTGTGGGGTCACTGCATGTGGGGTGCCCGGTGTGGGTGGAGAAGCTCAGGAGTGGTTGGGTGGACGGACGGATGGAAGGACGGACGGCTCTCCTCCCACAGGCAGCGCGCCATGAGCGCCCCCGTGTGCCCCCTCCTCGGGCTCTGGCTGTGGCTGTGGCTGGGTATTTCCCTGGGACTCGGCCAGGGACAAGGTAAGGACACCGGTGGTGCTTCCTGGGAATGTGGCGCCGGTCCGTGCCCGACCCACCCACTCCGAGGGGCCTCTGCCTCCACTCCTGACGCTCCGCCGGGAGCTGTTGTTCAGGTTGAAGGCGTGCTCGAGGAGGAAAGACAGGACACCAGAGGCCACCTGTGTCCTCTGCCCAAAGCACCACCCGCGGCTTTTTGCGGGACCTTCGGCCTTGCCGTCAGCCCAGCGCGGGGAGGCTGTCGCGTGCTCTCTGACAGTTACTGACACGCTTGGCCCTGAGCTCTGTCTTACATTCATGCTTTATTTTGAATTATTTCAGGACACCTCTACAATGTAAAACTTCCAAACAGCCCAAGTCTAGAGTAAGGAGGGAAACCCCCTTTCCCTCCTGTCCCCCCAAGGAGAGCACCGTTTGCTGCCCTCTGCTCCTGCTTCTGGTCCTTTCCCTGCTCACTGTCAGGCACAGGGAGAACACAAGGCTGCCCGGCTCTCCCCACAACGTCTTGTGACCCAGTCTGATCGCTTCCCTTTGGGAGTGACACTCATCTCCGTGTCTTTGGAATACCCCAGAAGGGACGCAGTGCGGAACGTGGTGGACGTCCTTGCCGAGCTCCCCACGAAGGGGGCCGGCTTGGACTGATTCTGGGAAGGCCAGTCTGCGGCTGCTGACGCCCTGGCTTTGCCGCCGGCCTGGGCGGCTCCCGGCGACTCCTGTGAGGGCAGGAGACCTGCCTCCTCACTGGTTGAAGCTGACCCTCCTGGGCGACTGCCCGAGTCTCGCTGTGTTTGACTCACGGTCCCTGTTGAGAATGCGTGTGTGGTAGAGGGGCATGCCACACGGCCACCCCTCGCGTGGAGGGAGGCACGGGTCTGCCGACCGCTCTTCCTCAGTGCTGGTTTGGCATGCAGACTGGCCGCCGTCATCAGGCGTGTCCCTGGGTCCCCGTGGCCCTGACAGGATCACGCCACAGTGGGGCCAAGTCACTAGTGAGCCCACGGACACACTGAGCTCCGCATTCGGCAGGGTCCCTGCGGACTCTGGGCAGCCCTGGGTCTCCCGGTCCCGAGGAGGGAAGGGTGGGTGGGGGCCCACATGTCCGGGCTGCCTGCCCCGGGGGTGACCCTGGTGAGGGGGCGCTCCTGGGGGGTTTCCCACTGGCAGGCCCCCCACTGTCTGCCCCATGCCCCACCAAGGCCCCCTGACATGCAGATCCCGAAGGCAGCTGGGAATGTCTCCCCCAACGTGTCAGAGGCACCACGAGACACAGAGGGCCCTTCATGAGCGGGAGTTGGGGGGGTCCCGCTCACAAATGGCTTTTCATAGCTCCCCCATCAGGCATTCCTGCCTTTCAGCCTGGTGCTCCCGGGAGCCGCTGGGCACATCCGGAGGCCCAGTCCAGCTGCTTCTCCCTGTGAGCCGTTGCTCATTGTGTCTGCCCTGGGCGCCCCCCACCCCTGCCCTTCTCCCGTGCCCCAGCTCTCATGGGGCAGCCAGAAGAAGCCCATCTCTGTCCCCCTTTTCCAAAAATAGCCACCCCTGCCACAGAGCTTCCGGAAGCTTCCCCGGGAGGCCAGGCCGTATCCCAGGCCTCAGTCCTTTACTGCCCCTCCTCCTCCTCCCAGGATGGCCACGGACCCCACAGCGCTGTGTAGACTCTGCTGGGGAAATGAGGTGGCTCCAGGCCCCGGGGCAGGGGCCACGTGGGCTCCACGCTGCTGGTCGCCAGTGGGGCTGTTCCTACTGATCCTGGATGCTTGCCTGGGCCCCAGCTGGCAGGGTGGGGGGCGCCCCTCACAGAGCGGGGCAGGCCTCCCTGGGTGGGGGCAGTCTCCTCACTGGACCTCCCAGGTGGCCCTCGCCCCTGGGACCCTCGGAGGGCCCGGTCCCCCTTCAGCCCCAGACGGGGCCTCAGGTTCTCCTGTGTCCCTCTGCTGGGCCCCCACAGCTGCTGGGTGCTGTCCAGGGTCAGTCCTGACCACCGGTCGTGTCCCCCCAGCGAGCAGCCGCCTGAGGCTGGCTGTGCTGCCCGAAGACCAGCTGCAGATGAAGTGGAGGGAGTCGGAAGGGGGCAGCCTCGGCTACCTGGTACAGCTGAAGCCCAGGGCAGGTAAGGGGCCGGCGGCCGGCGTGCTGGTCTGTGCCCAGCTCCTCCATCCCAGCACCCATGTTGTGAGTGGTGGGGAAGTACCGCGGGAACGGGAGCAGGGGAATAAGTCCTATGAAGTCCCATCCCCACCTCCAGCTCATGCCGACGGCGCAGTCAGTGCCTTTAGAAGAAACAAGGACTCCCTCCTCGAGCTTGGATCCCTTTCAGAACTCTGCACGCCAGCGAGCTGGCATCTGATGGGCAGGATTAACTCACATTTTACAGGAGGGAGGCCACGAGCACCCCCAGCGTGGTGCTGGCTGCTCGTCTTAAAAAGTTTTCAGCAATCGGGGCATCTGGGTCACTCAGTCGGCCAAGCGTCCAGCTCGATTTTGGCTCAGGTCTGATCTCAGGGTCATGAGTTCAAGCCCCATGTGAGGCTCCACTGGGCATGGAGTCTGCTTGAGATGCTCTCCTTCTCCTTCTGCTGCTCCCCCCACCCAAATAAAAAGAAAAAGAAAACTTTTCAAAAATTGAGGTTTGACACCCACAGAAAAGCCCGCAAACAGGAGTGCGTAGTTCCAGAAATTGGCAGAAAGCCAATGAGCCTGAGCTCCCCTCCCAGAGTGGGAAGGTGCTCCCCCAGCCCCACTCAGGCCCCTTCCCCATCACCATTCTGTCTCTGCCACCAAGAATAACCCCCTTTCTGACTTGGGGGCAGTTTTCTGATATTTTGATTAAGCCAAATTTACTTATCCTATTTTTTAAATCTTTTTTATTTTTGTTAATTTTTTGGGCTACTTATCCTATTAGTCACGGAGAGAAGCATCTTAAATCCCCACCATGCTAGAAATGTCTTCCTCTGCTTGTCTCACCAAATTTTGCTTTGTATGTTGAGGCCATGTTTCAGGTGCACACAAGTCTAGATCTTTCCATCTTCTTACTGGACAGAGCTTTCCTGCTGTGCAGTGCTCCCGTTCTCTCTCGTCAGGTTTCCCTTACGCCCCCTCCGCAGCCAGGGCTGCTGGCTCCACTGGGCGTGCCTGCATGACATCATCTACTCAGCCTTCCCTCACCTGGCACCGTAGGTGCACCTTCTAAGGAGCACGTGATCCCGTGGTGTTCGTCCAATGTGACAATCTTTGCCTTTTAATAGAAACATTTTTTTCCATTTACATTTAATGAAATTACTGACATATTTGGATTTAAATCTATCATTTTCCTATGTTTTCTTTTTGTTATACTTGTTATATATATGTGTGTGTATTTTTTCTCTCCTTATCCTCTTTGAAACTCAATTTTTATGGAAAAATTTAAACACCTGCAAAAGAAGAGATTGACCATAGTGTAATGAAGCTTCATGTTCCCATGATGTAGCTTTGACAGTTATCAACATATGGCCACTATTGTGTGACCTCTGTCTCCAACCCCTTCTATATATTGCATTATTTTAAAGCAAATCCAAGACATCGTATAATCATATAATTCTGTCTATAAATATTTTAGTAAAGGGAAGGACTCAGAAATAACTCCAGTCAACTAGCATGCCTAAAAAGTGAAAATATTTCAGAGCTACCATTAAATGTTTTGTTGTGTTCTCATCTTCCAACTTGTCTGATAAATATTTTTTACACTTAATTTCTTTGAATTGAGATCCCAACAGAATCCACACACTTTATGTGGTTCCTAGGTCTCAAGTAATCTTCAATTTATTTTTTTAAGGTTTCATTTATTTGAGAGAGAGCACGAGCAGGGGGAGCAGCAGAGGCAGAGAGAGAAGCAGGCTCCCCACTGAGCAGGGAGCCTGATGCGGGACTCGATCCCAGGACCCTGGGACCATGACCTGAGCCGAAGGCAGACGCTTAACCCACTGAGCTACCCAGGCATCCTATTTCTCCATTCTTAATTCTGTGTTTTCTATCCTGATCTGTATTCCACTATTTATCTCTTCATTTATGTGTAAGAAGCTGTTAAGTCATTCTTTGAATTCCTAACTTCAGTTTTTTGTTTTTCCATTCCAGAATTTCCATTTGGAAAATGTCCATTTGGTTTTTACATTCTAGAATTTCCTTTTTATTGTTTCTAGTTTGATACCCAAATTCATAGGCTTATCTCTAAGTCTTCAGACTAGTTAGTATAATTAATTTAAAGCCCCTTGACTCCATTGTCTGGAAAATCCGTGGGTCTCTTCCTATTGTCTGTTGTTTCTCTTAACTTTCTGTCACTTCCTCTTGTTCCTTGTACACCTGATTGCCCTTCATTGAATGCCAGCTGTTGTGAAAACTTATGGAAATAATTTATGACCTTATGTAACACTGTCTTACTTCAGAAAAAAAATTGTGTTTGTTTCTGACAGAGGCAATTTGGACTAGCAGTTTCGGGTAATCTTTTTAAATTTTAGATGTCGAGAGTATTTACCCACTCTGTGACATGCTCGCACACACGCATGTGCATAGACACACACCTGCCCACCTTGGTTGTCTCAATCTCTCTCCCCACCCCCACCCCAGGGGATGCGGAACAGGAGGTGATGTTGACCACCAAGACCCCCAAGGCCACGGTGGGGGGCTTGAGCCCCTCCAAGGGCTACACCGTGCAGATCTTCGAGCTCACCAGCTCAGGGAATGCCCTGCTGGCACAGCAGGAGTTTGTGAGTAAGTCCATAATCCTGTACAAGGAACCCAGCCTCAGAGTGGGTGTGTGTGTGGAAAGGAGCTGTGGCCCCCCTCCCCATGCAGCCCCCCAGGCCCTGCTCCCACCTCAGGGTGGGGGACCCTGACAGCCCCTCGCATCTTTCTGCAGTTGAGGATCTGAAGAGTCACTCTGTGAGCAGGAGTGGCCGGATGCCGCTGGAGGCAGCCGTGGAGCCCATGCCTTCCCACGTGGGGAGCCCAGACCCTGAGCCCCGAGTTGCCTTGTCCCCAAGCCAAGACCCGCCCACTCCTGGTGGTGCAGAGTCGGGTGAGGGTAAGTCACCTTCCAAGGTTTGCTCTTCATGTGGCCGGGATGCTCTTCCTCATGCCTGACCTCACATTCCAGCTTCTCCTTGAGCATGCTGGCTGCTCTCCTGCATTCACCCAGGCTCACGGGGGCAGGTCCCCCACTGGGGGTGCGCTTGGGCCCCAGTGCCCCTTGCTGCCCAGTCTGAGTGTGGCAGGTGAGAGGTGACACAACTGTGACCTCCGCAGGACTGCTTGGCGAGGAGCAGCGCCCACCCAGGGGCTCAGGGGACAAGGCCCCTTCTCAGCCCACCACAAACCTGGAGAGGCAGAGCCAGGCCCGGGGCTCTGCGGGAACGATGGAGAAGTTGGGTAAAACCACCAGGGCACCAGCCTCTGTGGGCTTTCGGGGTAGGGGCTGCGTGACCCAGGGCAGGGCAGACAGGTGTGACATTTCTATCGGCCATGCCTCCTCCCCCAGACCCGGGATGTCTCTGACTTTGTCTCCCCATCAATCACACTTGGGATGGAAAGAGGTATCTCCTTCCTCAGAGGGACACGTCCCCTCTCTCGCCCTCACTGTCCCCCATTGGACTTGGGGTCTGCCAGGACGGTCTCCCCAACAACACAAGGCTTTGAGGGCAGGGCTGTGCCCATTAGATGGGGGTCTCCTTGCACTCACGCTACCCAGGAATCCTCATGAGGGGCCTGTCCTGGGTCTGGGGCTTGGCCTGGAGGCACTGACAGTATAGACTCTCGGGGAGCCCCAGACCCAGGCAATGGCTTTGTGTCCAAAGAGCTCCTAGGTCATCAGGACAAGCCACCACCCCAGCCAGCGAGGCCTCAGCCCAGAGCTGCCAACCATGCTGACCGCCCCCCCAGTCAACACCCCCTTGGCTAGCCTCTGCCCACTGGCCCCCACATTGACAACCACACACAGGGACTGGCCCTGCCGAGGTCACTGCAAGGCAGACGCGCCTGGGAGTCTCATTAACCCTCCCTGGGGGCACTCAAAGCGTTGACACGATGAACCAGGGCTCACGTGGGGTTTTCTGAGTCCAGTGAGGGCCCCCAAGACGTGGCCACCTGCCACACTTGAGGCCAGAGCCCCGTGACCCCTCACCCTCCACCAACCCCAGGGAAGGAGACCTGGGGGGCTGGAGCCCAACCTGGAGCGGATGGGGGCTCCTGCAGTGGTGTGGGCCTGGCCCAGCTCCTCACCTCCCTCCCTCCCCACCCAGCTAGCCCCCAGTTCCGCTGCACACCCCCCACACCCGTGGACATGATCTTCCTGGTGGACGGGTCCTGGAGTATTGGCCACGGTCATTTCCAGCAGGTCAAAGATTTCCTGGCCAGCGTCATCGAGCCCTTTGAAATTGGGCCAAATAAAGTCCAAGTCGGTAGGTACCAGCCCCCTGCCCTGTGGCCCTGCTGCCAGGCGTCCCCACTAGTCCTACCAGCACCCACGGGAGGCCCAACTCTGAGAAACGGGAAGTCGGAGAGGAGGCACGGAGCCTCCTGGGGAAACCGAAGGACAGCCCTGCCAATCGGTATCACTGGCCGCCAACCCACTGACCCCCCCGCCCAGCCAGGCAGTTGGGGGCTCCCACAGGGGCTGGGGGACGTTCTGGTGACTGTCCGTGTGTAAACGTGTGCCCTCCCTGGTGTCCCAGTGAGGCTGTGTGTTGGGTGGGCGGCTCAGCCGAGCACCTGCCCCCCGCCCAGGCCTGACTCAGTACAGTGGAGACCCCCAGACCGAGTGGGACCTCAGCGCCTTCCGCACCAAGGAGGAGGTGGTGACAGCTGTCCGCAGCCTCCGCTACAGAGGGGGAAACACGTTCACAGGTGTGCCTGGGCCCCCAGTGACCCCACCCTTGGGGGGTCTGTCCAGGTCTCTGTCCCGAAGCCCCGGCTCCATCCCGCAGGTCAGCCTCCCAGACTTGAAAACCCGTATGTAAATCAAGCCGAGTGTGATGTGGGTGCTAAGCCTGATTCACACCTTCGTAAAGAGCAGGTTGCCCCTTAATTATCTTTGACGAAAACAGGGCTTTCCATCAGGCTGTCTTCCTAGAAGCGAGCGGCTCCTCTGATGGGTAGAAGCTTCCAGGAGGGGCCGCGAGTGGAAGCAGCCCCCAAGGAGCGTCTCCCGCAGGCAGAGCCCCGGGTCTCGCGGTGGTCCCTGCCTCTGGAGCCCCCAGCCTGGCGGGGCCGGGACTGACTCAGTGGGCCCTGTGCTGGGGTCCAGCCGGTGGAGTGGGATCGGGCAGGGAGGGCGCCAGGAGGGGCGCGTGGGGCCGCACGCCCTTGATTCTCGATTGCGCAAGGCCTGGCCCTGACTCACGTGTGGGAGCAGAACCTGAAGCCCGGAGCGGGAACCCGTCCAGAGGCGGCCAAGGTGGTGATCCTAGTGACGGACGGCAAATCCCAGGATGATGTCCGTGCTGCTGGCCATGTCCTCAAGGACCTGGGTGTTGCCGTCTTTGCTGTGGGTGAGCAGCCCCCGGCCCTCGGCTGGGGTTCTCACGGCCGCGGGGGGCAGTTTGCACTCCCACTTCTTTGCCCCGGGGCTGGGGGTCCTGTGGCGTCTGTGCCACAGGGAGGACCCGTCCCTGCTCCGAGGAGCTGAGCACCCATGGGCGTTCGGACGGGGGACACGATGTGGGGTTCCCGAGCAAAGCCCCGAGTTCTCAGTGCCATGTGTGGATGTTCCCCCTCTGCGTGTGCCCCATGCACCTTGTCACAGGCCCTGGCGCCCCCGTGACCTCGTTCTGCTCACTTCACCAGTCACTTCTTATCTCTGTCCCTTGGGAAGGGAACTGCAGATCTGAGGGCTCTTGGGGGCAGAGTACCTCCTTGGTGCCCAGATCCCATTGTATCATGGTTTTATCCCAGGCCCCGGGTTCACGAGTAGGTCTGGGGGTGCGTGGGACTCTGAGGAAAGCACACTGGCCTCCCCCCTGGCCCCAAACTCCATAGAGACCCCAGCACAGCCTGCAAGGGGCCTTTGGGAGCCCAGCCCTCCTGTACCAGCGCCCAGTCGCCATCTCTCGGGGGCCCTGTCAGGTGACGCGGTTCCGGGGCCCGTGGGATCTTGGGTACAGGGCTTGGGAAGGCCCCCGCAGACCACTGGGTGACTCAGGCCGGGGGCCTGTGGTCGTGATTGTAGGATGGGACAACAGCGCTGGGTGGGTGGGGTCAGGTGCGTCCTCACCGCCCTCCCCTGTGAGCAGGCGTGAAGAACGCGGATGAGGCTGAGCTGCAGCTCCTGGCGTCCCCGCCGCTGGACATCACCGTCCACAACGTGCAGGACTTCCCGCAGCTCGGCACCTTGGCAGGCTTGCTCAGCCGCCTCATCTGCCAGAAGGTGCAGGGCGGGAGCCGGGGCCCTGGTGAGCGGGGTCACCCTTGCTGGCTGCGGCCCCGCCCGGCCACTCTGGGCAAAGGGAGGGGGCGCTTGTGGCCCCTGGATGGGACGCCCTGAGCCCCACGCCCCTCGGCTCTCAGGGCTCTGAGGGTGTCTGCAGCTGGGGGACACCTGCCCTCCTGGAAGTGGCCACCGGGGAGAGCAGGTAGCACCGCTAACGCAGGCTGCCTGCTGGGCCCCTGACCGTCCCTCGCACCCAGGTACACCGGCCGCTGCCACCCCAGCCCCGGACACCGCCTGCACTCCCACCAGCCTGGTTGTGACCCAGGTGACCTCTTCCAGCGTCCACCTGTCCTGGACCCCAGCCCCCCAGCTGCCGCTCAAGTATCTGATCACGTGGCGGCCTTCCGGGGGTGGCACCCCGCGGGAGGTGAGTCAGGGCTGCACGTGACGCGGCGTCATGGAGGAAGGGCCCCGGCCGTGGCCCGCGAGCCGAGGGGAGAGAGGGAGTGTGCGTGCTGCTCACGCCTCCCATGGCTGCTTGGTGGCCAAGGTCACCGTGGGAGGCGAGGACTGACCTCAGCCCCAGCAGAGCGGATCCTGTCCCCGCCCCGCACCCCTGCGCCCTGCACCCCCTGCACCTCTGCACTCCCCACCCCTGCGCCCACCCCGCGGGCTCTGCTGTGGTTCCTGTTCTAGGTGGTGGTGGAGGGGCCCACCTCGTCCGCGGAGCTTCACAGCCTGATGGCCGGCACCGAGTACTTGGTGTCTGTGTTCCCTGTTGGCAAGGCCGGGGTCGGCCAGGGCCTGCGGGGCCTTGTGACCACAGGTGGGTGGGGTGGAGCCGGGCCGGGGCTGGGGCTACCCTATCCATAGCCTCCCTGGAGCCTCCCGCCAGCAGGGGTGGTGCCGAGGCTGGCCTGGTCTCAGCCCACCTGCTGTGGGACCAAGGCCCGGTCGCTGGGCCTCTCTGACCCTCGGTGTCCTCTTCTGAGCTGCTCAAGCCTTTGTGGGGCTCTCGCCCTCTCTGGCCTGCCATGAGCCCCTTCAACAGCTTTCTTGAGACATAATCCCCACGTCGTGCAACTCATCTGTTAGTGTGAGACTCAGCAGTCAGTCTAGTCCCCGGTGTGTCTGCGGTCGACTGTGGAGTATCATCCTCACCGGGAGACAAGCTCTGCACCCCCGCTGCCCCCAGCCCCCCAGCCCCTGTCAATCCCCAGTCTTCATCTGTCTGCATGGATTTGCCATTTCTGGGCCACACGATACGTGGCTTCCTGTGGGGTTTCTAACCTGAGGACATGGCACCCCCACACTCAGGGCAGGTAGCCTTAACCAGAAACCCACAGGTGGCTGTGTTCCCCCAGAGCTGTCAGCTGGAAACCCAGCCCGAAATGAAGTCTGGCTGGGTCAGACTGGCCTGTGGGGCGTCCCCCACCCTCCCACCTCTGTCTCCACTGAGACCCTCCACAGGGTCTGCACTTACCTGGGCCCTTTGTCATTTGAGCGAGGCCCCCCGGTGTGTGTGCTCTCTGCAAGGTGCTGCATTCCTAAAGTGTCCCCCCTCCCCCAGCACCTCTGCCTGCGCCCCAGGCCCTGACCCTGGCTGCCGTGACCCCCAGAACCATCCGCCTGACCTGGCGGCCCTCGGCTGGGGCCACACAGTACCTCGTGCGATGCTTGCCGGCCTTCCTCCGGGGCCAGGAGGAGGGCAGAGAGGTTTGAGGCCAGTTGGGAGGGAAGGCAGAGGAGGGTGATCCGGGGGCAGGTGGGGTGGGCAGGGGCCAGCACGAGTGCCACACCCCTGCAGGTGAGGGTGGGACAGCCAGAGGCGCTGCTGGACGGCCTGGAGCCTGGCACAGACTATGATGTCTGGGTGCAGAGCTTGCAAGGGACAGAGGCCAGCGAGGCCCGGGGCATCCGTGCCAGGACCGGTGAGTGCCCCGCCCCACAGGCTGCTGCCCCTGGGGCAAATGCCCCGCTCTGGCTCCTCTCAGCCCTCCACCAGGTGGGGAATCCCAGACCCCTCTGGTGGCCCCTAACCAGTTAGGGAGAGGGCACTGGCTGGTCCCTGAGGCTACAATGTGTTCCACAGCCACCCTGGCGCCCCCCAGACACCTCGGCTTCTCGGATGTGAGTCACGACTCAGCCCGCGTGTTCTGGGAGGGCATCCCGAGGCCCGTGCGCCTGTTCAGGGTCAGCTTTGTCTCCAGTGAGGGCAGCCACTCCGGGCAGGTGAGAGAGCCTGGGCCACTGGGGGACCTGGGGTCCAGCGGGGATGAGGTGAACACAGGGGCCAGCACCCCCAGCCCCCCACACCCTGCGTTCACAGCTGTTGGGTGTTGGGAGAGCCCCCAGGCACCAGCTTTGGCCTGCTGTGGAGCTGACTCCATCCCGGCCTTTGGGGGCCCCAGTCTGCAGGGGCAGGGAAGGCACAGGTGTGAAGCTAGGAATCAGACAAATACACATAAATGACATCTGTGATGCAGGGTGCAGGGCACGGGGCTTGTGAGCCGGGCTCTTTGAGAGAGGGGGTGGGGGCGGGCGAGGGCCCGGGAGGCCCCACACGTGGGGTGGGTACCCCCTCCAGTGTACATCCCAGGCCAGGGTCTCCTTCCTGCCAGGGGCTGACCCCTCCCTGGCCTGGGGAGTTGGCTCCAGGCCTGCACCCATGTGCCTGTCCGCCTTGCAGGTGGAGACCCCTGGGAACGCCACCTCAGCCACTCTGGGCCCTCTCTCCTCCTCCACCACGTATTCTGTCCGCGTCACCTGCCTCTACCCTGCGGGCGGTTCCTCCACGCTGACCGGCCGCCTGACCACACGTGAGTGGCTGAGGTTAGGGTGGGGTCCCCAGGCTGGCTTCATCCCTCCCCCGATGGATGGTTCAAGCTAAACACGTCGGCCCAGGTGCTGCCACGCGCAGTGCTGAGCTAGGTGGGTGCACATATAACCGGACACATGTGATGCGGGGCATGGGGCCCTGGAGGGCGTGACCCGGGGCACCTCAAGAAGCAGGGCCCGTGCCCAGCCTGCAGCCAGGCACTGGGAAAGGGGAGGAATGGCATGGCTGTTGTGTGGGGTCTAAGGTCCCCTCTGCCCCGCCATGGGCAGCCACCCCCAAGTGTGGTCCTGCAACAGTGAAACCTTCATGCGCACAGGGGCGGGTCTCTGGCGAGTCGCCCAGGGCGGGGGCGTGTGGGGCCCCCATGAGCCCCAGTGGGGCACAGCGGCCACTTCCTCAGGGCTGTTGCTTGTCCAGGCCCTGCCGCCCCAGCCTCAGTGTCCCTGCTCTGTCTCCAGGGAAGGTCCCCAGCCCGAGCCAGCTCTCGGTGACAGAGCTCCCTGGGGACGAGGTCCAGCTGGAGTGGGCGGCCGCCGCGGCTTCTGGAGTGCTCGTCTACCAGATCAAGTGGACCCCCCTGGGAGACGGGAAGGCCCGTGAGGTGTGGTGTGGGGAGAGGAAGACCACCCTCCTGCCCCCCAGCTCCGGGAGAGCTCAGACCCTGGCGCTTCATCCCGGGGCACCCGCCTCCCTGCAGCCTGTGGGCAGAGCCTGCACAAGGACACCTGTCTGCAGGGCGCACGCCTGTCCCTTTTCTCTGCAGATCTCTGTCCCAGGGAACCTGGGCATGGCGGTCCTGCCTGGCTTCCGAAGCCACTTGGAGTATGAGATCACCATCCTGGCCTACTACAGGGACGGGGCCCGCAGCGACCCAGTGTCCCTCCGCTACACCCCCGGTAGGTGACCCCTGCTCCGCCCCTCAGCTGCGTGAGGAGCAGGGACAGCCCAGAGGGACCCCAGACTCCAGAGCCGTAGACAGCTCCCTGAGTCCCTGGCCCTCTGGCCTGAGTGCGGGGTCCACAGGCTCTCCCCAGACCCCCCCACACCGGCAGGTGTTCCCAGGGGGGACCGAGGTTTCACGTCACTGTGTATCCTCTAGGCTCTCCTGGGGCTGGCCTGTGGCAGTGGCCCCGTCGTGCTGAGGCCAGGGGCAGCAGGACGTGGTGGGAGGACATGTTGGCCACCCTGCGGGCCGCCCTCTCTGAGCCCCCAGGTGCTCATGGGGGTACCTGCCTCACAGCACTCCGGAGCCCACCCTCCAACCTGGCCCTGGCTTCCGAGTCACCCAGCAGCCTGCGGGTCAGCTGGACCCCCCCACGCGGCCACGTCCTCCGCTACCGGCTCACCTACGTGCTGGCCTCGGGCTCGGGATCCGAGAAGTCGGTGGGTCTTGGAGGAGCGGGGAGGCCATGCCCCTCATGGGCCCCTAGGTCCCGGGCACCGTCGGGGAGGCACGGCCCACCCTGTCTGCTGAGGGGGGCGTGTCTTCCCCGGCAGGACACAAACAAATGAGAGCAGAGATGCCCAAATGAGCAAAGATGCTCAGGGGGAGGGAGGGTTAGGTGACTGTGTCCCCCCTCCCAGATCTCTGTCCCAGGGCCCAGCAGCCACGTGACGCTCCCCGACCTGCTGGCAGCCACGAAATACAGGGTCCTGGTCTCGGCAGTCTATGGAGCAGGGGAGAGTATGCCAGTGTCGGCCACAGGCCAGACGGGTGAGTGGCACCAAGACCCCCAGACCCAGCCAGACCCCAGACCCTCACACCCAGCCGGACCTCAGCTGGACCCCCAGCCAGACCCCAGACCCTCACACCCAGCCAGACCCAGCCAGACCCCAGACCCTCACTCTCATCCAGACCCCAGCTGGACCCCCAGACCCTCACTCCCAGCCAGACCCCAGACCCTCACACCCAGCCAGACCTCAGCCAGACCCCAGACCCTCATGCCCATCCAGACCCCAGCTGGACCCCCAGACCCTTACTCCCAGCCAGACCCCAGACCCTCACTCCCAGCCAGACCTCAGCCAGACCTCAGACCCTCACTCCCAGGCAGACCCCAGCTGGACCCCCAGACCCTCACTCCCAGCCAGACCCCAGCTGGACCCCCAGACCCTCACTCCCAGGCAGACCCCAGACCCTCACACCCAGCCAGACCTCAGCTGGACCCCCAGCCAGACCCCAGACCCTCACACCCAGCCAGACCTCAGCCAGACCCAGACCCTCACTCCCATCCAGACCCCACCTGGACCCCCAGACCCTTACTCCCAGGCAGACCCCAGCTGGACCCCCAGACCCTCACTCCCAGCCAGACCCAAGACCCTCACTCCCAGCCAGACCCCAGCTGGACCCCCAGCCAGACCCCAGACCCTCACACCCAGCCAGACCTCAGCTGGACCCCCAGACCCTCACTCCCAGCCAGACCCCAGCTGGACCCCCAGACCCTCACTCCCAGCCAGACCCCAGACCCTCACTCCCATCCAGACCCCAGCTGGACCCCCAGACCCTCACTCCCAGCCAGACCCCAGACCTTCACACCCAGCCAGACCTCAGCCAGACCCCAGACCCTCATTCCCAGCCAGACCCCAGCTGGACCCCCAGACCCTCACTCCCAGCCAGACCCCACCTGGACCCCAGACCCTCACCCCCAGCCAGACCTCAGCCGGACCCCAGACCCTCACTCCCATCCGGACCCCACCTGGACCCCCAGACCCTTACTCCCAGGCAGACCCCAGCTGGACCCCCAGACCCTCACTCCCAGCCAGACCTCAGCCAGACCCCAGACCCTCACTCCCATCTAGACCCCACCTGGACCCCAGACCCTTACTCCCAGCCAGACCCCAGACCCTCACTCCCAGCCAGACCCCAGACCCTCACACCCAGCCAGACCCAGCCAGACCCCAGACCCTCACTCCCATCCAGACCCCAGCTGGGCCCCCAACCAGACCCCAGACCCTCACTCCCAGCCAGACCCCAGACCCTCACTCCCATCCAGACCTCAGCCAGACCCCAGACCCTCACTCCCATCCAGACCCCAGCTGGACCCCCAGACCCTCACTCCCAGGCAGACCCCAGACCCTCACACCCAGCCAGACCTCAGCTGGACCCCCAGCCAGACCCCAGACCCTCACACCCAGCCAGACCTCAGCCAGACCCCAGACCCTCACTCCCATCCAGACCCCACCTGGACCCCCAGACCCTTACTCCCAGCCAGACCCCAGACCCTCACTCCCATCCGGACCCCACCTGGACCCCCAGACCCTCACTCCCAGCCAGACCCCAGACCCTCACTCCCATCCAGACCCCAGCTGGACCCCCAGCCAGACCCCAGACCCTCACACCCAGCCAGACCTCAGCTGGACCCCCAGACCCTCACTCCCAGCCAGACCCCAGCTGGACCCCCAGACCCTCACTCCCAGCCAGACCTCAGCCAGACCCCAGACCCTCACTCCCATCCGGACCCCACCTGGACCCCCAGACCCTCACTCCCAGCCAGACCCCAGACCCTCACTCCCAGCCAGACCCCAGACCCTCACTCCCAGCCAGACCCCAGACCCTCACTCCCAGCCAGACCCCAGACCCTCACTCCCAGCCAGACCCCAGCTGGACCCCCAGCCAGACCCCAGACCCTCACTCCCATCCAGACCCCAGCTGGACCCCCAGACCCTCACTCCCAGCCAGACCCCAGACCCTCACTCCCATCCAGACCCCAGCTGGACCCCCAGACCCTCACTCCCAGCCAGACCCCAGACCCTCACTCCCATCCAGACCCCAGCTGGACCCCCAGACCCTCACTCCCAGGCAGACCCCAGACCCTCACACCCAGCCAGACCTCAGCCAGACCTCAGACCCTCACTCCCATCCAGACCCCAGCTGGACCCCCAGACCCTCACTCCCAGCCAGACCCCAGACCCTCACTCCCAGCCAGACCTCAGCCAGACCCCAGACCCTCATTCCCAGCCAGACCCCAGCTGGACCCCCAGGCCCTCACTCCCAGGCAGACCCCAGACCCTCACACCCAGCCAGACCTCAGCCAGACCCCAGACCCTCATTCCCAGCCAGACCCCAGCTGGACCCCCAGACCCTTACTCCCAGGCAGACCTCAGCTGGACCCCCAGACCCTCACACCCAGCCAGACCCCAGCTGGACCCCAGACCCTCACACCAAGCCAGACCCCAGCCAGACCCTCACACCCATCCAGGCCCCAGCAGGACCCCAGACTGAGCCAGGCATCCGGAAGCCTAGAACCTTGGGGGCCTATTCAGCTGGGGTCCTGCCAGCAGGATGTGCTGTCTGTTATGCTCGGCACACGGCCCAGCCCTGCGGAGCTAGCAGAAGGAGATTGGGGTTTTCACTGAAACCTTCCCCATTGAGCAGTGCAACCACTAAACCCAGGGTTAAGACCAGATTAGTCCAATAAAACGGGTGCAGGTTGGTGCGGCTGGGGGCTTCTGGCTGGAGCCTTGCCTGCAGGGGCTCAGAGCTGCGGAATGGGCTCATAATTCTATATCTGCATCCAGGAGGTCAGGGCAGACGTCCAGCCCGGTGGGAATCCTGGGCCAGCCGAATGCAGATCACAGACAGGGCAGGCAAGGGTCACAGGGAGACTACTTAGGGAGGCCCAGGCTGGCCTCCCTCGATGCACCAAGCTCATGGACAGGACATCCATGGTCCCTGGGGGACTGCCACCCACAGGCCAGGGCCCAGCAGAGAGGATCCTGCTGATTCTGTTCGTGGCTGTATGCTGGTTTTCTTGGAAAATCACAGACGCTCAGAGCAGAGGACCCTCAGAGGCCATTCAGCTCGGCCACTCCAGCTTCCCTCTGTGTCCCTCCACGGGGTCATCTAGTTTTTGGCTTGAGTGCCCCTGGGCATGGGGGCCTCCCTCCTCCGTGGTGCCCTCACCAGCCCATGGACAGCTTCAGAGCACCTCCTGTGCACCTGGCCATGGAGTAAGGCTGCATGGCCAGGCCAGGTCAGCACACGCCCCAGGTTAGCGTGTCCCCACAGCCACGCATCTCCCTGGCCTTGCCACCTGGGACACGTTGGGTGTCCAGTGTTGGGGTGCGGCACCCAATGGGAGCACCCCTGGCCAGGCACTGTCCCCGGGGGAGAAGGACACCGTCCCTGTCCCTTCCCCATGCCGTCCCTGAGGTGTGGGGACCACAAGCCTGGAGACCAGCAAGCGTGTGTGGATGGGGACATGACTCCAAGGCACCGTAGACTTGAGGGCAGGGCACCTGGCCATGAGGGGCCCCAGGTGGAGGCGAGGACCCTCGCCCTGACCCGGACTCCCTTTGCCTCCCAGCAGCGTGCCCCGCCCTCAGCCCCGACGGCCCCCTCCCAGGTAGGCCCCCCACCGTGTGACAGCTGAGCTCCCTCGCCATCCCCCACCTGTCCCTCCTCCTCCTCCTGTTGCGTCCTCCCGGGGAAGGTGGCCTGGGACCCCCACCCGCCATGAAGGGGCAGTGACAGGGCACCAGGGTCACGGGGTCGGTAGAGGCGGTCAGGCAGGACTCTCACCTTCGTAAGGGGTTCCCCATGAGGCTGGCCGGGCCTTTATTCTCACGTCTCTGTCGCGGTCACAGCTGGGACATGGCCATGCGGAGACGAGGCTGGGGCCCTGGGTCCTGTACGGCTTCCTGCAGGCTCTCTGATAACCGGGAGCTGGGTGAGGGGCCAGGGCCGGGGGTCACATGGGGACGCTCCCCGACACGGGGCTGACCTGTGAGTGGGAGATCTGCCCGGAGCGGGGGCGGTGCCCCTAACGTCAGAGGAGATGCACACGCCTTGAGCCCGCTGAGTCGGGGCGGGTGCTGTGGCCGGCTGCTGGGCACCCTGGCCGCTACCGGGTGTGGTGGGGTCACCCCCTGGAGCGCGGTGGGGGGCCCCGGGCGCCCGACTCCCACCCACCTGCAGGTTCTGAGTGTGCGTCCGTCAGTAGTCTTCATGGTCACCGTCTTCCCGTCTGCGCGCGTCCTGTGCGGCTCCTCTCTGCCCCTGCCCCTGCCTCCCTCCCTCACCTCGAGTCTCTGATCACCCTTTCGTTGCTGCCGTGGCCACACAGGCTTCGACCTCATGGCGGCCTTCGGCCTGGTGGAGAAGGAGTACGCTTCCATCCGTGGTGTTGCCATGGAGCGCGCGGCGTTCAGCTGTGCCAGGACCTTCACGCTCTTTAAGGATGCTCAGCTGACCCGCCGGGCCAGGTGGGGGGCCGGGGGTGGACTGGGCCCCAGAGGGGCAGCTGCAGAGCAGGGGTGGGTGGCCACATCCTCCCTGTGATGTCCCCCGAGCCCCCCTGGGGGGGGCTGTGGCAGGTTCAAGCCCCCAGAGCCGACCAGGGACTCCCCTGAGCAGGTGGGGTTTTACAGATGAATAAATCTTGCGTGGGTGGAGCAAGGCCACGTGCAGGTCCTTTTCCCACGTGGCCCCAGCATTGATCAGACTTGCAGACTTCTGCATAGAAGCTTGTGTCCCTTGAGAACTCCCACGTCCCGGTGGGCGTGGGTCAGGCAAATCTGCAAGCAGCCGAGTGCTCCGCAGGCGCCACCCGGTGACCCGCCGTGAGCAAGGCTGGGGGCTCCCAGCAGCTCACAAGCGCCCGGCCTTGTTTGTGGAGAGATCCTGAATCAAACGGGAGCTGTGATACGCATAATCCTTCCTTGAGTTAAGATGCTGCTCGTTATCAGCACGGTCACATGCTTTGTGCTGGGAGTTTGAAAAGTACGAAGCAGATCACTGCACAGCACTCCCCGCGCGCTGCTACGATTCAGGCCTTTCTGCCCAGCACGGGCACGGCGGGCGTGGTGGTTGTGGCTACGGCAGGTGCCGCTCTGCCCGCCGCCGTCCTCCCGTCTGAGCTCACAGCTCCTTCACCGTCCTCTTCCTCCCGTCCAGCCCAACCTGCTCCTATGTTAACGTAACAGGTGGTGACGGGTCTCCCTGTGCATGTGGGTGGCTGAAGCCGGTCTCTTTCTCGGAGGCCCCTTCCTCCCGGCCAAGCTTGAATCTGGGGTTCTTTATCGGGGCGGGCTGCTCTGAGCGTCTGGGGCCCTGAGGTCTACCCTCCCTGGATGGCGGCCACACGATGGCGGCTCTGCAAGCGCAGACTTTCCCAGGCCCTCGCTGTCGACGGTTCTGCTGGTGTGGCCCCCGCTCCAGATGTGATCAGCCACCCCAGGCGAGGCCACCCAGCACAAGTGTCCCCCCACCGTGGTAGCTGCCACAGAGGGGTTCTGGGTTGCTAAAAGCAGAGGGGTCCCTCCCTGTGTTGGGGTCAGAAAGGCTCCCCAGGGAAGTGGCAGACAAGTAAGGGCCACCAGGGAGACAATAGGGAAAGGGAAGGGCACTGAGGAAGGAGCAGCCCGTGCCAAGGCCCTGGGGTCAGTTTGCTTAGAGAACCACAGGAATGGTCAGGTCTGGGTCTTTGGGGCTCTTGGTTATCCTAAGAGCAAATAAAGGGCAAAGAGCGAGGCTGTAGGCCTTTAGGAACACTGTTGTTGGGTGACCTAACACCCTGTTCCCTGACCTTCCCACCCTTCAGCATGCCCCAGTGGGCACTGGCACAGACCCCCCGCCTGCCCACTCTGAGCACTCCAGCAAGCTCGGGTCCGTGGGAGCAACTCCCGAGGGCAGAGCTGCCTGTGGGCTTGTGGGCTCCTGACCCCAGGACACAGGCCCAGAGACCCTCCTGCCAGGCCCCCATGACCTGCCCCCTTCCGCCCCCGCAGAGCCCCTGGAGGATGGGGTCTTGGAGGACCCTGCCCAGGAGTGTCGTGAACACAGGCTGTGGTGGGGTGGCCTTCGGTCCCAGCCACAGAGCATGTCTCGCTGAATCCGCACCAGCCTGGGGGCGCTTCTGTCCCTCACATACCCAGTGTTACTGCTGGGGAATGGAGGCACGAGAGGCCCAGCTTGGTGGTGGACCCCCGCCCTGCAGTCCCGTGGTTCTGGGGGATGGCGGGACCCCACCCCGTCCCAGGCCTGCAGTCGCCCCCCGCCTGTGCTCTAACAGTGGCCTCCAGCTGGCTGCCCCCCCACCAGAGTACACGGTGGTCTTCCTGCTGCGTGTGCTGCCCGAGACCCCCCGCGAGAGCTTCGCGTTGTGGCAGATGACGGCTGAGGACTTCCAGCCCGTCCTGGGGGTCCTGCTGGACGGTCAGTCCACAGGGAGGGTGGTGGGCCCAGGTCCGTGGGTCCTGAGGAGGTCTGCGTCCGGGCCAGGCCGGGGATGCCCCAGGCTCAGCGAGAGGCGTCCACAGCTCGGGCCCCTGAGGCTTGGGGTGCATTTGCATGCTGCCCGACCGTGGGGCCACCCCGTTCTGCCCTGGGAGTCTCACGTGCTCCCACCCCTCCCCTGCAGCTGGCAGGAAGTCTCTGACCTACTTCAACCACGACCCCAGGGCCACCTTGCAAGAGGTCACCTTTGACCTGCCTGAAGTGAGGAGGATATTCTTTGGAAGCTTCCACAAGGTCCTGGAAGGTTCCTGAAAGACTGAAGTGCGCCCCTCGAGACCCGCCCCCGCTCCCCAAGTTCTGGAGCAGACCCCCCCCACACACAGGACCCGCAAGACGTGCCTACCTCCCAACCCGTCACACACCGGCTCTCCCCGCCCCACCCCCGCTCCCCCCCCTTTTCCTTGAAAGTCACGTTGGCCTGTCCGAGCCTCTGCCCCACGGTCCCCTCTAGACAGAGGCCTTCATTTGGGTCAAAGAGCATCCAGCCCTTCCTGGGTCCCACAAATCCCTGGGAGGGGTCTGCAACAGGTGTGATTTGGTCTACTCTATAAAGGGGAAACTGAGGCCTCGTGAGACCTGGGGTGGGGTTAGGATCCTGACCCCCAGGTGCTGGGCCCCGCTGGTGGCCTGGCCTTGTGGGCACAGGCGGGTGCCCACCCTCGCTGGGGCTGCGGGGGAACCTTTCTGGTGTCCGGCAGGTGCACGTGGCTGTGGGCCGCTCCAGGGTCAGACTCTACGTGGACTGCCGGAAGGTGGCCGAGAGGCCCATCGGGGAGGCGGGCAGCCCGCCTGCCGCGGGCTTCGTGATGCTGGGGAGGTTGGCCAAGGCCCGGGGCCCCTGGAGCAGCTCAGCCACAGTGAGCACGGGCCTGGTCCCGCTGGGCTGGGCCGGAGGGGGCCGCAGAGCCGCAGCCTCGTCTGGCCGACCCTGCTCTGTGTCATAGTTCCAGCTGCAGATGCTGCAGATCGTGTGCAGCGAGTCCTGGGCAGAGGAAGACGTGTGCTGCGAGCTCCCTGCGGCGGTGCGTGGCCTAGCGCCTGCCGCGGGTCCCAGAGTCTGGGGGCGGACAGCATGTCCACCATCACGGTGTGGCAGAGATCAAGACAGGCTTCCTGGAGGAGGTGGCCTCTGGGCCAGGGCCGGAGCCCTGGGCAGCCGGATGCAAGTGTCCCGGAGGCCCTGGGGGCCAGGCAGGCTGGAGCATGTCAGGAAGTCCCAGCGGCAGGGGTGGCCGCAGCCTTTTTCTGTGGGCACAGCTGGGGTGGGCACAGCAGGCCAGGAAGGCGCTCATCCGGCGAAGCCAGAGGGACGGCCAGACTCGGGCGGCCTCCGCACCCTATGGGTGTGGGCAGGGTTCCTCACGCTGTACCCACACCGGGCTTGGCCACGCCCCAGAGGGACTGGAAGACAGCCTGGGCGGGGCAGCCTGGGGGGTGGCACCCAGGGTGGGGTCCTTGCCCCTCATTCCCAGCCTCCCAGGCGTCCTGGAACCCAGGTGTCTGTGGCCACTCGGAGCTCTAGGTCAGATGAGAGCAGCTAGGGGGCCACTTAATGAGTGGGGTCTCCTTTCCCCCAGAAGGATGGAGAGACCTGCCCTGCCTTCCCTTCCGCTTCCGCCTGCACCTGTTCTTCGCAGACCCCTGGGCCCCCGGGGCCCCAAGGACCTCCGGTGAGTCCATCCTCTCCTCCCCTGGGGTGACCCAGGCTCCCGGCAACATCCTGCTGCCACAGCACTGAGCAGCTGTCCCAGCCTGCCTCCAAGATGGGACGTGCTCCTGCGTCCCCCAGCTGCCTCATCCACCCAGCCTCTCCTCCCCACCCCCTGCAGCTGCCCTCCCCTGGGCTGACCCCTGTCTGGGGATCCAGCATATCCCCAATATCCCGGTGGGAGTGCGGCCCTGTGCTGGGGGTGGCCAGTGGGTGTGGCGAGTCAGCCACGTGGGTGGCCTCTGTCCTGGGTACTCGCTGTGGGGCCTGGGAGGCGGCTCTCCAGGCCCTGGACCCCCCATGGGGCGGGGCCTGCAGTGGGAATGCTCGGCGGTCCACGCCAGACAGGGGCCAGGATTTGAACCAGGACCTGCCGGAACAGGAGTCTGCTCTACCAAGAGGTTGTGGGAGGGAAGGATGGGCTAGGATTCTCTTGCCCCGAAAGACCCTTCCCCTTCTCCACCGAAACTTGGGGACTGCAGTCCAGGGCAATGCTGTGGGGCCCTCGGGTGGACGGCGCTGAGCCCTGACCGTGCCCTTGCAGGGCCTCCCTGGAAGGATCGGAGCCCCAGGAGAGCAGGGCTTCCCAGGGCCCAGGGTGAGTAAGGGGGAGTCCCACGGGGCTGGACCCTACCTTTCATTAGAATGCAGGAGTGAGCCCCACAACTAGAAGCAAGGTGCCCTCCCCAGGGAGTGGCCAGCTTCCCACCCCACCCCAGAAATTGCAAATCTCATCTCGTCTCTGACCATAAGCACTCTGACAGGTGAACTGTGTTGACACCGTCTTAACTGGCTTTTCTCCTAAAGCAGCTTCAACACCCTGTGGAAGTTGCTGGAATTTTCTTGTTGGACAAATGTCCTTTGAACGCTTTCCCCTGGGTACTTTTCTTACTAATTCTTGGGAGCGCAGTATACTTTATGGAAATCAGCCACACATGTGAGTTGTGACCACGTTTGCCACACCAGTGTTTGTGCGGAGCAGGCTTGGGAGCAGAGATGGATGCGTTGGGTTGTGTGATCGCCATGTCCGTGCGCTCTTAGATTTAAAAACTCAAGTGTGGATATTAAGTAAGATTTGCTGCTTTGGACACAGCCAAATAATTTTTCTTCCTGGAGCTGTTAGTTTGGTGAATGATCTTAGTGTCTTCCTGAATCCTGAACTGCTCTCTTGCATAAACTGGGTACCTCCCACCCACGTGATGTGCGGCTGGGCTCTGTCTGCCAACGTCCTACTGAGGATTTGCTCACTGATATTCACACATGAGAATGTCTGCAGTTTTCTTTACAGAGTTCGGTACATTGATATGCTCGATTCACAAAGATTGCCTGAAGGCATTCTCTCATCCCCCCGCCCCCCAAAATCCCAAGCGGTGGAAATAGCGGGTGTCCCCTGTCCCTTAGAGATTTGGGAGAAAGCTCCAGCGAGGCTGAGTCTGTGACTGGCCTGCCTGGGTCGGCTCTGCCACGGTGGTTTCTGCACGCCTCCGGGTTGGGAAGGGAGAGCAGGCCCGGGCTCCGTGACCTGGAGCCGCGGCCGAGGTCTGTTCCCGGCAGTAGAGAGGGTCTCAGCAGGACCCCTCCCGGGGTGGGCAGGGAAGGTGAAGACGTCTCTGCACAAGCCCTGGTCTGGTACCAAAGTCAGCCGGAGGGCCAGGAGGGCCACTGAGGACAGGACCGAGGGAGGGGCTGCTGGAGGGCCCCTCGGGCCCTCTCAGCTCCTCCCCCACCTGCATCTGCAGGGGGAGCCTGGGCCACCTGGACAGATGGGGCCTGAGGGTCCTGGAGGTCAGCAGGGGTCGCCAGGGACCCAGGGCCGAACCGTGCAGGGACCTGTGGTAGGTGCTGCCTCCCGTCCCCCTCCTCCATGCTGCCCCTCCCCCGTCCTCTGGGACAGACTAGCCGCTGAGTCTCTTTCCTCTCCAGGGTCCGCCAGGGGTCAAAGGAGAGAAAGGGGACCATGGGCTCCCGGGCTTGCAGGTAGTGGGATCAGACTCCACTCAGGGCACGTGGGCAGGGAGGGCGTGGGCTGGGGACATGGGTCTCCTCTGCTTCAGACCTTGGCCTCAGCCTGGCCAGCCATCTCTGTTCTCTTCTAGGGCCATCCCGGTCACCAGGGAGCCCCCGGGAAGGTCGGCCTCCAGGGACCAAAGGTGGGAGAGAAGGCTGCCACGGGAGGGTCTTGGACAGAGGCTGAGGGGGCGGTGGCCTGGCCAGTGGCGGGGGGGGGGGGGGTTGTCACTTCCCCGGGGCGGGGAGGCGGGCCCTGAGCTGGGCTGGCTTCATGGGCTCTCAGAATGCCGCACAGGTTCGCAGGGACGGGTCACTGCCTCTCTGCTCGTGGCGGCTACGTGGGCATCCACGGGAGGGCATGTAGGGGTGCCGGGCCCCCTCCCCACCCCAGCTTGCCCCTTCCTTTGCCCTCAGGGAATGCGAGGCCTGGAGGGGAGCGCTGGCCTGCCTGGACCTCCAGGCCCGAGGGTAGGTACCACCTGCCCTGCGAGGCTCCTCCCACCACCTACTCAGGGCTGAACACAACACAGGCCACAGCTAGAGGAGGTGACCCGGGGAGGCCTCTCCTCCTGGGCTGGAACCCTGCAGAGCTCCGCTGCGTGTGCGAGTGCCCTGTGCCCAGAGGCTTGTCACACACTGTGGGAGGGTCTTTCCAGCCTCCCCTGGGCAGGTTGGACAGCCCCAGGCACCCCTGTGCGAGATCCACGTGGCGGCAAAGTGCCCGGGCTGCCGGGCCTGCCCGGGGAGGGTGGAGGGGTGAGGCTGGCTACAGGACGTGACCTGGGCCCCCTTCTCCCTCTCGGCTGCCTCACTCAGAAGCACCTGCCCTCCCCATCCAACCAGGTCCATGCTGCTCTGAGTTGGGGGGCACCCAAGGTGGCCTCGGCCAGGTGCCTGTCCCACAAGAGGCCGCCAGGGGCCCGGGGCCGGGGGCGGGGGCTGGGGGGAGGACCGTGGTCACACTCAGGATGGCTGGAACAGAGCCGGGGGTGGGGGATGTTTTAGTGAAGAATCAGAGCTGAGGGGTGGGGCGGGCAGGGCTCTGCCCTGCATACGGGGCCTGGACCGGCCCCGAAGTGGGCAATAAGGCGCAGCCTGCGGGAGGCTGGGAGGAGTGAAGGATCTGGTGTGGGTCCAAGGCCACAGGGACCCAGACCACAGGGAGCCAGGGTGGGAGGGAGGAGGGGCCTCGTTGTCCAGGGCCTGCAGCCAACCGCCCCTCCACACCTCTGCAGGGCTTCCAGGGCACGGCGGGGGCCAGGGGCACCGGTGGGGAGAGAGGACCCCCAGGGGCCGTGGGGCCCACGGTAAGTCCCCTTCGCACCTACCAGCTCCCCAGGAGTAGGGAGGCAGGGAGCATATGTGAGCAAATTCCTCCCTCCCGACCGATCAGGCCACTTTGTAAAGCCAGGCCTGTAAAGAGCTTGGGTTTGGGGCTCACCAGAGCAGAGGGAGCCCAGGGCTGCCCCTGCCAGACCCCAGACCCAGGACAGGTGGGGCACAGACGGTGGGGCTGTGGGCTCCAGGGTGTGGGGGCAGACCTGGGCCGACAAGCCAAGGAGGGGGCTCCAGCTGGGGACGGGGAGGAAGGCAGGCCCAGGGGCGCGGACGCACTCCGTACAGGCCTGGCGGGCTTCTGCCTCCCCGGCTGGCTGGCTTGCTAGTGGCAGACCCTTTGTCCACTGGGGACTCCCTGCAGCCAGCTCCCTAGGATCAGGCTCTGCCTTGCCTGATCTACCTCCTGCCAGATGGGTGGGACCCCCGCCCCCACCCCCACCCCCACCCCCACCCCCACCAGGAGCAGAGTCAGGAGATGCCGACCCCAACCCCAGGCCTGGCACGTGGCCCTCACCTGCCCAGAGGGGAGCTGACCCCGGGCCTGGCATGCAGCACTCACTCCGCCCAGAAGGGAGCCAGGATGGGGTCCAGGCACGTCTCCTCTGCTGTCGGTTTACTTCTCTGTCCTGACCTGCTTTTCCCCTTTTCCTCCACTGCAGGGGCTGCCAGGACCCAAAGGGGAGCGAGGAGAGAAGGTGAGTAGGCCCCTGTCTGGGGTCCAGTCACTTCCTTGGGAGCATGGGGGAGGCACTGGCCCTCGTGCCGCTGGTCATGGAACGTGGCCACATGGCCCATCCTCCCTTGCAGGGCGAGCCACAGTCCCTGGCCACCATCTACCAGCTCCTGAGCCAGGCCTGCGAGTCTGCCATCCAGAGTGAGTGGTGTAGCTTCCTCGTGAGGACCCCAGAGCCTCCCGTGCCCCCCGTGCAGCCTCTGTGCTCACAGCAGCCTGGGCCCCTCGTCACTAGCAGTCCCAGCCTGGCCCGGCCATTCTCCTTGGCCATGCACCATGGAGTAAGGGGGGGAAGGCATGTGGGGGCCCCTGTGCCCCGTGCCCCACCCTGCTGATGCCCCCTCCACCCCAACCCCCAGGTCATGTGCTGAAGTTCCACTCCTTTCTCCGTGAGAGCGCCAGGCCCCCCAGGCCCGTCTGGGAGGCCCCCAGGCACCCTGACACACTCAGTGAAGCCTGGCTCCCTGGAGAAGGGGGAGATGTTGGCCCCCGCCCTGCGAACAGAGGTACTGGCCCTGTGGGGAGGGTCTAGGGGCCCTGCAGCTCCTCTCCAGGTACTGGGCTCCCCACCCTCCCCGGGCCCCCAAGCCCACACAGAGGTCACTTAGGCAGGACTGGACACTGCCTGGCTTCCTGGGGTCCTCAAAGGGGCCCCTTCCCCACTCTCCCAGGATGCCCAAGATTAGGGTCCTTTGCTGTCCTGCCGTCCCCTCCCCCATCCTCCTCCCCGCATGTTCGCATGCCCGATGCCCCAGGAGGCTTGGTCTGATGACCTTGTCCTGGTCCCTCCATCTGACTGGGGCTGCAGTGCTGGTCACGGCTCAGGTGGTAAGATGGATGGGAGGCTATTAGGGGAGACAGAGCTCATGGGCCTGGATTGGGGAGAAAGGAGGGGGTGGGGCTGGGGCACTGTGCTGTGGGCAGGGAGGGGTCCTGCCTCACCCCTGGGCTGTGCATTGGGTTAGGGGAGCGGGCCTCACTCATGGGAACCCCTGCCCACCATGGCCCATCACAGTTCCCCAGACATGGCCTTTGAGGTTTGACAAGGCTGTCATGAGGACCCCCCCACCGAGCCTCCCCGACTTGGCGGCGGAGCCAACAGCTGGTGTCTGTTTGGGGCTCGGGCATCCACCTTCCCGTCAGTCAGACCAGGGTCCCTGAGAAGGGAAAGGAAAGCATCACTTTCCGCACCTCTTCGTTTGACCATGTCCTCCTTCTGCTCAGGCGAGCCCAGAGCCCTCAGTCACATGGGCAGCCCTCAGCCTAAAGGAAGCGAGCCTCCGGGACCCCCGGGAAGAATAGGTGAGCCCCCACCTGTGGGGAGGGGAGCCCCGAGGGGCAGCTGTGAAGTGGGGGTGCAGCATGGACAGAGAGTGCGGGCGCCGAAGAGCAGGGCCTCCTGGCTGGTTGGGATGAAGGAATGGGGGGGTTCATGGGCCTTGGGGGAACCTCACAAGCCTGTGGGCAGATGTGGGGAAGCCAGGAGAGCCCAGGGAGACACCGGCCGGGGCGAGCATGTCAGGAGGGGAGACCAGGGCACACCACCGCGGGCACCTGACCCGGGCGGGTAAAGGGACCAGGGCAGGAGGCATGTGGGAGCAGCGCCCTGAGGAGGAGAGCCTGCTGCAGGCTCATGGCTCTGCTGGACACACTGAGACCTGGGGGGCTCGGGTCCATGGTGCCAGGCAGGCTGGGCTGCTGTGGTCTGGCTCAGACCTGCCCACCCTTCTCTCCTGCCAGGACGGTTCCCGTGCTGCCCACAGTGACCCTGCACCCCTCCCCGGACTCTGGGCACCGAGACCGGCTGTGCCGGCAGGAGGAGCGAGTGCGGGAGGGACCTGGGAGTGGAAGGAGGGCGGTGGGGAGCCTTTCTTTTGTACTGTTTTCTACGCTCGGATAAACTGCAGCATGCTCACCAAGGCAGGGGGTTGCTCACTACAGGGAGGGGTGTCCCCAGGGCCCAGAGTCCATCCCTGCCAAGTGGAGTCCAAGGCTCCCCACCCCTGGCCCTCAGAGAGAAGCTACCATCCTCCCATGGCTTCGAGGACCCCCACCCCGCCGTCACCCTGTTACCACGTGACTCTGTGCCCAGGACGCGGTTTCTCAGCTGCACTCTGAGCTACCGGTGGGGGGGGTGCTTTGAACGCGGTGCCCAGCACCTCCTCAAACACTGACCTCCTGGGCCCAGCCAGGCGTTGGGTTTGGCCAGTCTCAGGGGGCTCCCCACCTCCCTAGTAGCAGCCCCCTCTCTAATGTCATAACGTCCGGCTCCCCTCCCACGTGCTTGGGCCCTGTGGGGACCCTGACTGGCCGGCCCCCTGCCTTGTCACTGCCAGGGCCCCCCCTGCTCCCGCCCAGCAGCCTGGACAGCGCAGCTGGTGCTGTAACCAGCCCCTGGCCGTGCCCCACACTCACTCACCTAGAAACCTCACCAGCTGCGGGTCTGGGGCCGCATCTGCTATGGTCTGTCGACACCACATCATGTTCCAGACTAGGAGGAATTTGGGGTGGGCCTCCTTTAGATGCGGAGGCCAACAAAGCCTTCTGAGGTGACATTTGAGCAGAGACAGAAACAAAGAGGGGCGTGGCAGGCAGGAGAAGGCTGTAGCAGGGCCACCGCTCGCGGGAGGCCAGGACCACGGCACCGCCCAGAGACGGCGGGAGGCTGCAGAAGCTGGAGCGGCGAGGACAGAGAAAGCTGAGCCTAGGGCCAGGGGCAGGGTCAGCCCCACCAGACCTCGGGCAGCACGGGGGTATGGGGTCTGGACTTGGACTTAGGAGCAGGCCACTGGGGCTTCTGAGCAGGGGACTGATGGGACCTGGTGTCTGCTTTGCACGATCTGTGGGTAAGACCTCAGGGACCTCGTCCGTTGTCCTCTGAGACGGAGGTGGTGAGGGCAGGTGGAGCTCGGGGCGGGCTGCTGGTGGAGGCTGAGCCCTGGGGTGAGCAGTCTGGGGTGGGCGAGCAGGTTCCAGGTGCCCCCTGGCAGCCAAGGGCAGAGGAGGTGACGAGTCCGGGGCTCACGGGGACAGAAGTGTGGGGGTCGCTGTCTCAGAGTGAGGGGAAGCCTCGGGGCTGGTTCTCTGGGTGTGAAGGCAGGCCAGGCTCGGCCCGGGGGGCACCGTCGGCGGGGGCAGACGGGAGGCGCCCGCCCTGGATGGTTCAGTTGGGGAGGCAGGGGAGGGAGTTGCCATCCAGCATGAGAGCCCAGCAGGACTGGGCATTGGCTCCCCGCCCTGCCCGCCCCAATCTGCCACGGCCCCGCCTGCCACCTCCGACCCGGCTCGGCGGGCTGGAGAGATAGCAAGCCTGCCGCCCACCCTCCCGACCTCAGCCCGTGGCTGACGGCACATGTCCACGTGAGGCCACAGCAGCACCCAAACCCTCTGCACACACTCACATCCCCACGCACACACTCGCAGACACGTACACACGTGTGTGCCCGAACGTACACCCGCCGCACCCGCGTCCACAGGCAGCCACCACCGGTCTGGGAGACAGTGCAACGGGAAAGCAAGGCTTCAGGGGAGCAGAGCCTGACCTGGGCAGACAGCCTCCACAAGACCAGCATGGACGCATGTCCCGTCCGCCACTGACCTAAAAATCACAACAGCGTCAGAGAGGGAAGGATGCACAGCAACGACATGAAGCCAGGATTAACAAGAATGAAGAAAAGACCATCGGCAGCCCAGCGTGGAGGACACAAAAGGAGAAGCAAGAGTAAGGCAGGCGGGGCAGTTACAGGACCAGCCGGAAGACGTCTCCCCGGGGCTCAAAACGGGATGAAAAAGAGAGAATGTGAGTGTCGACATCCACATGGCGGGGGTCCAAGAGGAAAGGGGCGGTGAGTGAATGAGGACTGCAGAGTGTTGAAATACTTCGTTTTTAAAATTAGAGAAAGGGCGCCTGGGTGGCTCAGTCATTAAGCGTCTGCCTTCGGCTCAGGTCATGATCCCAGAGTCCTGGGATCGCAGGGTCCTCTCCTTCTCCCTCTGACCCTTCCCTCCCCTCTCAAAAAAAAAAAAAAAAAAAAAAATACACCCTTAGATTCTTTAATGCAAAATACGACAAAGATAATAGAAATATTCCTTAGGAGTCAGCTCTGTGTTAGAAGACAGGAGCATAATGACCCGAAGTGTTGAAGAAAAAGTACTCAAATTTTACATCCAGTGGAATTATCACTGAAGTCAATGTGGTAAAAACATATTCTGAGTCCACAAATCTCAGAAGGGGAAACAAGATTCTCTTTGGCAATCCAGCTGGGGGGCTTCTGCAGAAAGGGGAGAATAACCAGAAATTAGACCCAATACACAGGAAACCCTATAGTCACTGAAAGGCAATGAAATTTGCTACTGACTGAATAATGAAGCCCTCCACACGGACAAATCACTACAATTCTAGATCCTTCCACAGTGGCTGGTGTGTGGGAGGGCAGGTTCCTGAAGGCAACCAAAGTGCTTGCTTTATTTGGCAGTGGGCGGCATGATATCAATTTATTAAATTCTTAAAACATGCAAACCTTGGTCTTAAGTTGGGAGCAGCCACCAGGAGGAAAAAATTAGAACGTAAAACCTTTAAGATTAGCCAACTAGGTCAAGCTTTCTTTTATGGGAGGGGACAGAACATGTAAACAGAAAAGAGAAACAGCTTAAACATATCCCAATGTAGCAGAAATTACAGTAAATATAAGTGAGTTTAACTCGTCAAAAGATGAGCTCTCCAAATTGCGTGGAAAGGCAAGACCCAGCTTTCTGTTTCTAGCCGGGACGGAGGAGCCAGGATTGGACCAAGAACCACCAAGGCCAAGAGAAGGTGAGAGGCAGCTGTGCTCGGCATTTCGATGCGGAAGGATGGAGTTTTCTACAAATGGTGCAGAGACAACTGGAGGTTTGAGGCAAAGGCATTGACCCCCACCCTCATCTCACACCATGCACAAAAACTAATTTGAAAAATGTTATAAACTGAAACATAGGGGCACCTGGGGGGCTCAGTCAGTGAAGCGTCTGCCTTCAGCTCAGGTCATGATCTCAGGTCCCAGGATCGAGTCCCGCTTCGGGCTCCCTGCTCCACGGGAAGCCTGCTTCTCCCTCTGCCTCTCCTTCATGCTTGTGTCTCTCTCTCTTGCTCTCTCTCTCTCATGCTCACTCTCCCTCCCTCTCGCAAATAAATAAAATCTTTAAAAAAGTAAACTGAAACATAAAAGCTAAAACCAAACTTTCTGGAAGGAAATACATACGTACATACAACCTCAGGATAAGCAGATCTCTTAGAAAGGATCCATAAGCAATAACCATAGAAGGGAACAGTAATAAATCGCACCTCATCGAAATTAAAAGCTTTTCTTCAACACACCGTTAAGAAAATGAAAAACATAGTCACAGATGGGAAGAAATACTAACAACTCGTTGGAAGAAAGCGGTATGTAATGAGAAAATATTTCAACACTTCACTGAGCGAGACACACGGTTGGCCAGGGAGCCCCCAGCATGGCGCTCAATGCCGCGGGTCTTCAGGGAAGTGAACCGAAGTGCGGGCTGCCCTGGACGGCTCGTCACCGCTGCCGCGTGACCCACACCCAGGGGTCGCTGAGGGTGGCTGCAGGGGTGTGGGGTGCACGGCCGGGCAGTTTCTCAGCTCCTTACGAAGACAGAAGCACCAGTCTCCTGCGGCCCCGAAATTCTAGGTATTTGCCCCAAAGAAATGAAAACACGTCCACACAGAGACTCGTGTGTGAGTGTGTGAAGCAGCATCATCCATCACAGCGCCAACCAGGAACGTCCCCAATGTCTGTCAGTGAATAAAGACATGGCGGTGCATTCGTGGACACGAGCGATCTCGTACAAACTGTGGAGGAACGGCCATCCGCAAAGGAGTGTCTTCCATTTCCACGAGGTTCTAGAGCACGTGAAGCCTCTCTAGCGGTGGCCGTTGGGGCGGTGGTTCCCTGGGGAGCAGAGGGGTGACCTGGGGTGATGGAAATGCTCCGTCTATTGACCTGGGTGGTATCCACATGTCGTCCACGTCGTAAACACTGATATGAGTCAGGTTAGTGGTTAAAGGTGGAAACACCCCCAAAAGGAAGCTGAACGGCTATGTAGTTGTCAGGAAAGGTAGACTTCGAAACCCAGAACACCGCCCGAGACAAAGGGGGGAGTTACGTAAGGGTAAACGGGCCCATTCGGCAGGAGGACAGTGGCCCCAGACATGACAGAGAGCAGAAGCCGACAAAGCCACAGTGGTCCTCGGTGACACCCACAGCCGCTCAGGAATCGGGACGGAAAGTAGACAGGCCAGCCGTCTG